CGTGACAGAAATGATGTTTTCACACACTAATACTCGATGAAGATATTAGACTTTCCTTGCGTTTAGATTCAAACTGGGAACTAATTTTCACAGATGAGGAAGAGGGGTAAATAAGTGTCATCTACCTTACCTTACTTTATCTTTTATAGGCAAAAAAACACATGTTATTCACACATTTATTTTGTTAATTTAAAGAATAAAATTCTTAAAGCTATTTTGATACGGATGAATGAAATAAGATAAGAATGAAATGAACCAAAGAATAAAAAATAAAAAGCCATTCTCTGGTTTGATTATGTATGGCTTAAAAAATAAAACTATCTATACATATGGGCGGAGCCAAGAGTTAAATTCAGGGAGTGAGAATTTTATTTTTAAAAAAATAAGAATAAAAAGGAGAAAAAAAGGAAAGAAAAATGAATTTTGAAAGAAACAAATTAAAGTATGATTAAACAAGGAGAATTTAACCTTCTAAAAAAGGTAACTAAAGAAATTTAAAAGTAAAAGATAAAAAATAGAAAAAAAATTTAAAAATTTGGAAACTAATAGAAAAAAAATTTAAAAATTTTGAAAACTAATAATTTTAGGAGGCAGAATATATAAATTTTTATATATGTGTGTAAAACAAAATTTTTAAAATCATATATATGCATAGGGCGGGGCCCGGCCGGGGGCATGTGCCCCCTATGCACAAGCTAGCTCCCCCTCTTTCTATATATATGTAAACCAAATATATATATTTATAGAACAATGTTTGTCTCACCCGCATAAGTAGAAATATTCTTCTGATACTAACCTGGATCAATAAAAATATGACATGTGTCAAAAGCTTTTTTAAATAATTAATAAAAATTGTTTGCTTTCATATTGCAATCCATTACAGAATAAGCTAAACAATTAGCCCAAACATGGTAAATTAATTGGTTGCTCAAAATTTTGGATGCCACTAGAGTTATCCGTATTTATTTATTGGTTGGTCGGCCTCTTGAATCATTCTGGAAATGGGTTGCAAAAGAGATGGCAGACAACGAATGTGGCGGCTAGAATCATCTCTAAAGATTAGATGTAAAAAATTAAGGTTTTGGAATGAAGAAGGTGGTGGAGGTCGGTTGGTGGAACAAATAATTAATATTAGGGTTTCAGAATTGGGGATTTGGTGGGAAGAGGGAAGGAATAATGAGTTAATGAGAGGGAAAGCCCACTACCAGGTCTCACACAAGTAGAGATGGCAATTTGACCCGCCTCCGCTGTTACCCACTTTGTTTTTGGCGATTTTAGGGGACCGTTTAACTTATTTGGGCGAAGATGGTTTGATGTAATAAAAACTTGTGTGGGTTTGGTGCAGAGGCGAGGGGAGGTCACCCCTCACAGCCCACCCCCCGCCCCGCCCAGCCCGTCCCGTTTAGATAGACAAATTATTTAAGTACCATTATTTCATTAGTATATATATTTCTCGGTATATATATTAAGTACTCTATCTAACAATATTAAAGTAACAATGGCGAAGAACTGAAGATGAAATAAAAAATAAAAAATAAAAAAATTATTTTAACAATAATTAAATTATGGTCTTAAACGGGGCGGAACGGGTAGCCGCGGGGGTAAAAATGTTAAACGGTTGCGGGAATGGGGTGGAAGGTTTCTTCGTTTTTACGGTTTTGGGAGAGGACGGGGGCGGGGTTTTTAAACAATTGCGGGGGTGTGGGAAGGTACACTCGCCTAAACCCGCTCCCGTTGCCATCCCTACACACAAGCATGAGAGAAATTTTTCTTCCTTTTTGGATGACCTATGAAAAGATTCAAATGATTCAGGTTTAATTTTTTAATTTTTTTTGACACATGTCATATTGTTATCGGTCCATATCAACATCAGAATGAGAACTCTGTTTATGCGGCTTAAGGCAAGCTTTTTTCATATTTGTATATGCGTAAATATATATTTTCTTTATCTTCTTCTCTTTGTTTTTTCAATCTTCCAAATACGATGTATATTTGAAAACTGAAGAGGAAATATCAAGAGAAGTTGTCTTTTATTGGTTCTCTCTCATTGACATGGAAATTTACTCTTGTTTCTTAGTCAATAATACAATCTCAACAACATGCATCTCTCGCATCAACATATTTTAGTGTTTTATCGCTTATCACTGTCCATGGATGCAAATCGCCGCCTTTTTGGTTATCGATTGACTTCAATGAATCAAATCGCCGTTTGATATCGGATTGGTCGTCGATCTATTTTAATGGTTGATTTTGGTTTGGTCAATTGACTTCAATGACTAATTTTGCACTGATTTCGAATTGGTTATTGATCGCCTTCAATGGTTGATTTGGTCTTCAATGTTGTTTAACATTGATCACCTTTAATGTTGATTTCTGATGCAAAACTGATGGAACTTGAGTTGTGTGAGAAAAATGTGTTAGCAATCGTTCAAGTAAAGCAATTTTTAATATTATTTTTACTCCATATTTTTTGAAGTGGGAATAAAATAGCCCATTCCTTTTATTAAAAAGTGGAATGATTTTGATGAATCGGCCTTTTTCCGAGAAAGGTGAAGAATGCCCTTCCAAAATAAAAGTAATGATTTCCTTCTTCTTCTTCTTCTTCTGAGAGATTTTTATTGGAGTAACAAGCGAATTTGGTAGATTTCTAACAAATTTTTTTTACTCTAAAATATTTTTAAATAAAGGAAAGATAAAGAGAGTGTGTAATAAAGAAACGGGAAAGTGATAATGTCTCTTTGATTTTTATGAGTTGAAAATTGCTGAATGATATTAAATATTATCCGATGGACCAAGTAAAGTAAGAAAGGAGGAAACGTATGCGAAGGAATATTAAAATGTAGTTAGGCTGTTTAATATTGTAATTTATTTTATCGGACTTTTTCCAGTGATGTCTGTTATTAGCATCTCATCATAGACTCTTATACTCCATATTAGATTAAAAATAAAACAATGTGGTCGGCTGCTCTCATTTAGGGTTGCAGAAAAATTTCAATCTAAATTTATAAAATCGTAAAAATATTATTTGGTGACGGTTTGAAATTTTTTAGAATCAAATCCAACTGTTTATATATATATATATATATATATATAATATAATATAATATAATCTTACAATTCAAATCACTTATAAATTTATATATATATAATATAATATAATCTTACAATTCAAATCACAGATAAATTTGTAACAACTATTAATTCTACAATTCACTCTTAATTTTCTCAAGTCTTATCAATTTATTATATACTTTTTATTTTTTGTTAATTTACAATGGTTGAATTTTGTTGATTTTCTGAATTGTGACTGAATGTTTGTTGTTAAATTAGTAATTTTGAATGTGGTTATTAACAATTTTGAATGTATTCACTTCAGTTTCAAAAGTGACATAGAATAATGGATTAAATGTTGTTGGTTTATTGTTGTGTATTTGGATTTTAAAGAGAAAAAAAAAAAAAAGGCGTGAAAATGAACCAAACCGAACTGAACCAAACCAATTTCTCACAGTTTGATTTCTTTGATCAAATGGTTCAATTTGGTTTTAGATTTTCCGGAACCCTTAGGATAGGTTTGGTTTCAAAAAACTTTTAAATTAATCCAAATAGAACCGTGCACCCCTACTCTCATTACAATAGTTATCTCTGTAAATAATATATAAATATATATATAATTGAATCAAACTCTTCTCAATCAATGCATATAAATAATAGTTGAAAAAAAAAAATACATATATAAGAAGAAGTCGGTACCTATCAAACTATGTCAACCATGAAAAGAAAGATGTTAGTTTTCAGGAGGATTAATGCAATGGATAAATTAATCTGATTATTTGGTATTTATTACTTTGTTATATCTTAAACTCTTTTGATAGTAGATGAAAGATGCATTGGTTAGTAGACGAAATATTACTTTTAAGTGTGAAAATTTAATAATGTCTTTATTTTCATATAAAAGAATAAAAATTGATGAATTGTTCTTTAAAAACATTAAAGATATTAATAAATGCTTAATAATTTATTTGTGTTATTGTGTAAAATTAGTTTGAGAATGGAGTTCATTTTACCATAAATAATTTATCTACGCTGAATTTCAAATGAGGTCCATTGCCATTGAAGGGTCCATAGACTTAGAAATGGAGTACATATTAAATGCGTGAAGTACATGTTAAATAGGTCAGTCATGTTAAGATATTCTCAATCAACAATAATGTATCATTTCACAAAAATTATATATATGAATATATATATATATATATATATATATATATATTTATTTATGAAATTACAGATATTTGATTGCACCGTTACCGCAGGCATGCTTGCGCAGTCAATATCTAAAAAGGATGTATTATCTTGGATTATCCATTGTGGATTATTAAAGCAACTGGTGAAGGTATTTATTGGGAAGGATGTGGTTCAGTTTACGAGAAAAAAGTGGATATGCAATCAACGATGCACGTGTAGGCGTTTAGTGGTAGCAGATTATCAATGACGCGGCCCACCTCTGACACGTAGTCCGGATTTCTCACGTGGCCCATACAGTCACTGATGTCGGCAGCCTACTTTCAACGCTCACAAGCCACGTGTCTTCTTTCTTATATACTCCTACTGAATCCGTTTGGGATTGCAATTGTAACTTGTTAGAGCGGTTTCAATTTGAAAAATTGTGTTCAACACTATTTGGTAGAATACGCACTTTTAAAAGTAGTAGTTTAATAAATAAAATAAAAAACGCATTTTGATAAATTTAAAAGGGCAAATTACACTTAGACCCTTTGAAATTAAGTTATTTCTCATTTAAATGAAAATTTTGATTTTAATTTTTACTTATGTTTAAAAGAGCGATTTATTATTTTACTTACATTCCAAATATCAATTTGTAACAACGTCAGATTACTTTTAAGTATAAAATGATTATATTACCCTTTAATCTCTTATTAACTATTTCTTGTGACCAAATTACCCCAAACACAAGACTAATGTGTAATCCGCCTTCTCTCTTTGTTCCCGTTAGTGGGCCAGCCGAAAGGTGGTTTATCCATGGCATTTGGCATGAGGATGATGTATCCTTATTACATGTAAAAGTCAAAAACCCATTACTGGCCAGTAGGCCTGAACAACTAAGGCTACATCACTGCCTCCTCTCTGTTTTTCCATGGCGGCAATAGAATCGTGGCGGAGAGCTCGAGAATGTAGGGGCACATCGACGGCGATTATGGAGTTGGTCGTGGCTGTTCCAGTAGTCAACAAAGCTATATTTGAAGTCAAAATGTTTCGAGTGGACAGCCTGGGGTTTAGGTCACCATCGCCGCCGCCGGCGGAGATCAGAACGACGAGCACACTGGACAGTTACGGAAAGAGCAACTTCCGATCAGTGAACCTTTCGACCGGCTTCCGCAACGCAATCGAACGGATCAGAACGAATGTCGGTTACTTTTGCATGAACTACGCCATCGTCGTCCCTTTGATCCTCTTCCTCAGCCTCTTCTGGCACCCGATCTCGCTGATCGTCTTCATAATGGCCGCCTGGCTCTTCCTCTACTTTCTCGCAACGAGCTGCTTGATTGACGACTGAGTTGTGCTGATCGTGCTCTCGGTTTTGACGATCTTGTTTATGTTCCTGACTCAGGCGACGGACAACATACTGATTGTGCTGATTGCGCTTTCGATCGGAGTGGTGGTTGTTGCGGTTCACACAAGGAAGACCGAAAACTTGTTTGGGGACAAAGAAATCATGGGAACCGGTGGATTTTGACCAAAACTGTAAGCCGTAGTATTAAAAAAAAAACTCTTATTTTATTATTTTCAAAATTGGATTTATGCTTTAACCAACTCATCAACTCATTTCATATATAGGGGATTTTTTGTCTTTTAAGATTACAAATATTCTGTATTAAAAAATTGAGAGTAAAATGGTCATTTAGCATGTATCAAAAGTCAAAAAGTAAGTTCGAGTATAAGTGAAAGTTAAAACCAAAATTTTCATCGAGCTAAAAATAACATAACATCAGGAGTCTTATTGTAATTTACCCAATTTAAAAATTAAAACATTTAAAATTACATTTGAGTAGAGTTTGATATATATATATATATAATATAACCTTCTTTTATTTTTATAATTACAAGACTATTCGTAATAAGAAAAAAAAGAATGTATACAAATAAAACTATTAGAATAATAACGTACAAGTAAATAAGAGTGTCTAATTGAAACTCCGTCATTGTATAAGAATATATTTAGACTAAAAGAGTCTTGTTTAAGTTTTTTGTAGTTACCCCAAAACATTGTGTGTCTAACAGTTTTTTAAAAAAATAAATTTAATTTTTAATTTCGTTTAGGGGTAATAAATATGTAAGATTCTAAGCATTGGACTCATGATTATTAAACTCAAATAAATTTACATATATTCCTTAATATGGGATTGTAAATATTTTCATAAATATAAATTTGTATAAATTGGTAAATTTTATTAATTTAAGTTCATGAACATGCCTCATAAATGTGAATCAGAGTGAACTTAAATACGCGTTTAAATCAAACTTTAATGTTTATTTATTTATTTATTAAACAAGTTCCATTTACACTTTGAAAAATGATTATTGTACGGATTAGTTTTAGTGAATTGTCAGACCTATTATTTTAATTAGTCAATTATACAATAAATAAGGAAATGAATCATTCCACTTAAAGACCATTTTTCAAGTTCGATACGTGATTCGTATCGGTCACTTTACAGTGACTTTGTCCGTGTCTGTTACACCACGACCGTGATCAATAAAGTGACCTTGTCCGTGTCTGTTACACCACGACCGCGATCAATACCGCGATTGTAACGAATGTTGCGAATCATGATCTGAACTAAGCCCACAAAATACAGAAACAATGAATCCTGGTTTGGCTTGGTCTATTTATCAATTCATTTTATACTAGTATTTAATTTATCTCTTTTTGTTGTTTTAATTTTGTTATTCTCTGGATTCGTCTAAAGGAAAAACAGTATTACACCTTATGAAGTATTTCTTTGGTTTATAAACTGATTTTTTTTTTTGTTGTAAAATAATATGTGACATAAGAGGAAAAGAAAATAATTTAGTTTGAAATAATATATGAAATTTAAAAGAAGATAATAAAAGTTAATTAGATTTTTTGCCAATAAAAATTTAACTTGCACAATAATTATAATTTAATATATATCTCATACCTCTAATATAACTTATCTTAAAATTTTGAAATCTAAATTTAATAATTAATCTTTGATTTTATAATTAATCTGAATGGACCATTAGTTTGAATTTCATGATTTACTTCATAAATTAAAATGGTGCTCATTTCACATGCTCGAGTCATTTCCTATCAAAAATTATTTGAGTTTTTTTCAAAATCTTTTTAATAAATTAAACTTTTTATAAAAAATTAATAAAACAAATTCACACACTCAATTCAAATAGTTTATTTGCCTTGCTTATGGTAACTCTCCCTGAATTAAGTATGAGGATATATTTTCTGGGTCGGCTCGTTTCAGCCGTACATGTTATTCACGCACAAGAGCATATTGTTTACGTGCGACTCAGATGAGTAAATCACCTACAACCCGCAACAGATTAATTAATTAAATGGATCAAATATTATTATACTCCATTAAAGAAGTGCTTGGAAGCCACGTGTCATCATGCCATGTGTAATTTACATGCGGCTCCCAAAGAAGTCGAAGTTATGCAAGCCTTTACACAAAATTTCAGTACTTTATAACCTTTCGAAAATAAAATTTGCAGTAGTTGATTGAACCCTCTCAAAAGTCCTATACTCAATTATGGTAGCACTCAATTACGGTTGCACTGGCCCACCCTTAATAAATCAACTTGTCCCACAATCAATTGTGACAGCTATTCAAATTATCTTTATGAAATCTTTGTTTAAGACTGAAGATGAAATTTTTTGAATAAATGAATGAAATGGATAGAGTTGTCACAGTTGCTTAAATTCATAGATTCAATCTATATAATATTATTTATTGCATAAAACTTACAATGGCAGTAGGGTTACGGATTGGATGGCAATGGGACGAAATATTTTTCATAAGCTTTTTCCTACCTGCAAAGTTTTAATATAAGTAATTATTCCAAAGCATATCCTTTGATGTACTGAATGAAAATCTCTAATATACCTCTTTTGCTTTGTTTAGTTATATTAGTGTTTTGAAATTAAAGATGGAGATATGTTTTAAGTTTGAGCTATTTTTTCTTCAATTTTGAATACACTAACTCCATACAATCCAACACAATATAAATACGGCAGGCAAGAAAAAAAAAAAAAAATCAAACTTCATAAGAAAAATATTTTTAAAAATTACAATATTGAAAAATAAGAGCGTACAAGTTCTTACCCTCTCACTCCCACTTTATAAAACTTAAAATTTATATCTTTCACACTTCCACTATTGCTCGGTCTAATTTGGGAAAATATGTTATCTTACCATTTCATTTATAATCAATCTAACCGTTGACGCACAATTCAAAGTTGAGGAGTAAGGAAAATCTTTCTATTAAATCTGCAACAAAATTTTGAGGTTCTATGCATATGTTAAATTTATTACTTATGTAATTCAAATAGGGAAATTAATTTTTATTCTCTAACATTAAAAGTTTTCTTGTTGGTTTTTTTTTTTTTTTGATTATTTTGGAGAATTTTCAAATGCAAAACTTTCTTATAAAGTATAATTAATTTGAAAAACAATAAATTTTGATATATCAATGTGAGTTAGAAGAACTTAATGCTGCATTTGGTGTGCATGAATGGAATGTAAGTGAAAATGGAATGAGAATATGATCCATTATATTATTTTATTGTAAATATGAAATGTGTAATAATGAACTGAAAATAACGTTCTAGCGTTTGGATAGACTAATTTAAAATCCAGAATGAAATAAATTTCAAATTGAATTCTCCAAAATATCTCTTTTAGTAACAAATAAATTAAATTAACAAAATCACATTATTTTATAATTTTTTAAAAATAAATGGAGGCAGTGCTAGTGGTGGAAAGCTGTAGTAGAGTAAGTGGTGGTGTTGGAAGGCAACGACAATGTGAAGGAGATAGTGGTGTAGGTGGCAGTGGTGAAAGGTGATGGCGGCAGTGGTGATGAAATACAATGGCGGTGGCAGTGGTGGAAAGCTGTGGGTAGTAGTGAAAGTTGGTGACAGCGGTAGTGGTGGTAGTGGTGGAAGTTGGTGGTGGTGGTGAAAGGCAGAGTTGGTTGTGGTAGAAGGTAATGATAGTTTTTGAACTTGAAATATGAGAGTTTTTTGGGAAGTTGATTTTTTAAAAAAATTATTTGAAAATGGAATGATTATTCCATAGATTTAGTTGTAGAATGAATTTTCATTTTAATAAAATGTCCCTTTCACTTCAAATTACATGCTAAATAAAAAAATTATTAGAGTAAATATTTCATTCCATTATATTCTTGCGCATCAAATATAATATAATAATAGATAAAATAGTAAAACAAATAAACATACTCTGTAATTACACGTTAGAAAAAAGTCCGAGAGAATAAAAAAAACGCCTGAAAAAATTGCACATACCTCCTCTAATGATTCAAAGATTATACTGACCTTAACCATCTAAAAATTTGCAGAAGTGACCAAGAAGTCTTATTGTCTCATATTATACTCATAATAAAAACGCGTAAGAGCAAGAGACAAAAAGGAAAGAGAGAGACTTACCCAAACAAAAAAAAAAAAAAAACCGTAATAAATAAAGAAAAAAAAAAAAGACGAGTGTGGTCCGTGTGGATTAGAGGAACACGTATCACGTGCACAGTTGGCCGACAGCACGGGCTTTGAAGCCGGTGGGTCCCACTCTAATGGACGAGTAAATCCGGTTGGATATCGCCGTCTAACTTATCAACTTTAACTCCACGTTAGAATTAATCTCGGTACACCCAATAACATATCGCCACGTGAGCACATTTCACTACGTGTTGCAATACAACCGGAAAAATAAAGTCCAAACTGGATTATTGGACTTTACCATTACATGAAAGAGGAAGTGCAACGTGGACCACTTACCCAGTGACAGATGGTTATCGATTAAGTAATATTCCACTGCAACGCGTATGGTTTCTATTACTCCTTTATAATAAGTTCTGGCAACCTGATTTACAGAATGATGCTAATGAAATCTCCGAAACAGTTTAACAATGTGTGTTGCGAAACAGGGTATTTTTACATTATGGAAAGAAAAAAAACAAAGGGACACATTGTGGAATTATTGGTATGGATGTGGGGATATGTGATTTGGTCCCCCCTCCCTTGTGAATCATCAAAATGTCCTTTTTCAATAACTATGACGTTTCTGAAAACCCCTCCTATTTTGGGTTATTTGTAATATTCCCCTAAATTCTTCAAATTCTTATAAGACCTATAAAGATTATTATATTTATTTTTAAGGCATATTTGGTTTGTAATTTTAAAAATAATTCTCAAGAGTTGAAAAATTAAAAAATTGTTTTCAGATAATTATCTTTTATAATTTCATAAAAATAAATATTTTATAATTACGTCTTCAAAAAATTAAACCAAGCAATACGTTTTCAAAAAATTAAACAAAGCAAAATTTTTGTACAAAATTTTTTATTTATTTTTATCTTTAAATAAAAACTGTTTAAAAATTACAAACTAAACAGCCCTAGATACTCACTTGTCTATGTGTTATTTGAATGTTAATTCACTAATTTAAAAACTAAGAAAACATCACTATGTTACATTCTTTGATTAATTATTATGTTATTTAAAAATATTAAATATTATACTTTAAAGCAGAATTACAACTTTTAGAAATTCTAAGATTTGTCACCGTTTTACAAGAGAGTGCATTTTTTAATGGCTGAACACCATATGATATTCATGTAAGTCAATTTAGGCCCGTCGCCTAAAACTCCGTTTCGAGAAATGCCCACCAACTTTCTTTTTTTTTTCCTTCTTGTTTGTATTGTTGATGTCCACGATCGTGACGCAGTTGTTTGATTATTTATTTATTTATTTATTAATGTATGATCTTTAATAAAGGGATAATATAGAAAACATGCATAGTTGAAGGGTATGTATATAATAATGGGTATATAAAGTAAATTTTAGTCTTGCGGAGATCCAATGCCTATCCATCTTTAAATACTGTTTTCGCGGATTGCTTTCATATCTCATTTCACACTTTTCTCTCTACAGCAAAGATCGGATCTGCAGACTGTGTTGGCCATCTTCAATATCTCTCATTTTGGAGTTCAGATCTCTCAATCAAGAGTTAGTTTCTACATCTACATCTCTTACTTCACCAAATGATCTCTCAACTCTCTCTCTTCAGATTATAGTGTAGATGATACGTCCATGAACTCAGATCGGCTCCATTAGGATAACTCGATCCATATATTTTACTCGATTCAAAGGTTTTTAGTGGTTTAATTTTATCCACTTGTCACTGTTTGTCTTCTTCTACGCGTCTCTCTCATTTTCTCAACAATTTAAGTTCATATATATTGGTTATTTAATATATACACATATTTGTATGGATCTGTGTGTTAATTCTTGTGTTTTATACTCGAAAGTAGCAAATTCAGTGTATATGTTTCTTATGCAGGTGAAAAATGGCTCAAATTCTGCTTCACGGGACACTCCATGTAACGATCTATGAAGTGGATCATCTGCACGGTGGTGGAGGTGGTAAGCCGGGTATCTTCAGGAAGGTATATTGTACTATTGCAGCGTGTCTGCTAGCATATGTATGAAATGAAAATAGACCATTATGGTCCTCTTAATTTTTAAGTGTAATGCCCGTTTTATGGTGTTCTTATCTTCATTACTGTTTCCGAAAGCAACTTTTGATGGTGTTCTTATCTTCATTACTGTTTCTTCCCCTCAGTGCCTCTTCTTTTTCTATTTACCCCCTTTTGTGATTACTACTTTTTTGGGACATTTACTATCGGTTTAGAATATCAGCCTTTTACCAAATGTAATTCTTTGGGATTCTGTTTTTCATCTTTTGATATAGGATCCATGTCATACAAAGTGCATCTGGACATACCCTAAAAGTTAGTGGGTGGCATGAATGATACCCGTGTGAGATCTCAATTGTGTCATAATGCAATTTAATATATGAGTGAATTTCTTGTGGCATGACAATTTACACTCCTCTAAATTCCACCCTTGTTCTAGAGAGTTCAATCATTGAGGCTCTGTTTGTTTCGATGTAACATCATTTTTCTTCATATTTTCTAGTGTTTGGTTGAAGTTCTAAAAATAAGTTACCGAATCTTAGAAAATGCATTATAAAGTTATAAACATCTATGTAAGCACATATTTAGTTGCAAATATAAACATTCTATATTAGTTTACATATATTGATATATAAGCATGTATTTGAGTATGTAGAAAAATCCGTACACAAATACACACACACACACACACACACTTACATATAACTTTTAGATGGATTTGTAAATATATTTGTGTGTGTATAGGTGTATATATACATGTTTGTTTTTAATGTGTATATATGCTAATGTCAATTGACAGGACTATTGGTTGGCATATTTTTTAGTGTAATTAAAATGACTTACGGAAAACCTTTTGTTTTTGTTTTGGTTTTTAAGCTATTTTTGTTTTCCTAAAAGATTGTGTATTTACTATCAACCAAACACTGGAAAATGTTTTAGTGCCAAACATCCTTTTCGAAAAATATTTTACGTCGAAACCAGAAGGGTCTGAATGTCTTCATCTCCAACCCCTTTTATCCTGCAATTTTGTATTTCATACGTGTCTTAATATGCATGGTGTATATCTATCAAAAAAAATATATATGCATGGTTTATTTCAATAATTGAAATTGCCCCTTTTTCTCTTTATTTATCATAGATGTTTTAATAGTATGATTACATTCAACAGGTGCATTTTAATTTTTATATGAAATTCAGTATTATCAATAACATATATTATCTTACTTTTATATTTTTCAGATTACAGTATCTAGTACCTATATTTTGGATATCAAGATATCGCCTTCCCCTTAAATTATATTTTCAAGAAAGAAAAAGGATATCTATTTATTTGGGTCCCATATGATTTAAAATGGATCTAGTGGTTCTCTTTTGCATATATAATTTATTTATTTTGCCTAATCTACAAGATATTCATGCGGCTCATGCCCATGCAGTGCTCAAAATCTGCTGTTATTTATAGCAATTTGTTTAACTGGTAAACATAATGTTGTAATATAAATATTGTAGGGAGGTCAAAAATCACGGTAACCCAGACGTAAACCCCTCATGTGGGGTTGGGACCGTTGGGAGTATCCAACCCAAAAGGTTAGCCCATTAGGTGGAGTGTTCCTTGGCCGATGTAAGTCCCAGATTTCCTTCTTCACCAGCAGATGTGGGAGCCTCGCGTCGGCCAAGGGATTCCTGAGTCGACATGGAGCTCCCTGGGACCTAGCTCTGATACCAGTTGTTGGGTTGGGAGTATCCAACACAAAAGATTAACCCATTAGGTGGAGTGACACTTGCCCCATATAAGTCCCGGATTTCCTTCTTCACCAACCAATGTGGGACTCGTTAGGCTGCTCAACACCTCATTATAGACGCCACTCCCCCCTACCCCCCCCCCCCCCCCAAAAAAAAAAAAAAAAAAACAAAAAACCTCCCCCCATAGCACAGCTATTTTCCATTTACGTAAAATGTTTCCTGACAGAAGAATCTCCATCTCGTCCCAAACACTAAACATTCCTATTGTTGTTTTACTATTTCATGAATAATTCTCATGTATTTGTATATGTCTGTTTATTTAAATTTTCTTAATTTCCCGCAAATGATGGGGAAGGAGGATTTTGTGATTGTATGGTAAATCTAAATATGGGTTTTTATATGCCCTATGAAATTTTATTTGGAATTGTGCTTATATCCCAACTATTGTGTTAATGTGCTGCTAGAACAGAGAACTTGAGGCTTTTCTCCTGTTCAGTTTAGTTTTAATATTGTAATGATATAACCAACAAAAGAAAATAAAGAAATTGTTCTGCTGATTCTATTATTTTACAAGCTATTAAAAGTTTACTTAATAGAATAAAGATGTGAAAGATAATGTAAATGCAAAGTTAGACTGGTGCAAAATGTTACTGTGTTTGAAGAGTGTGGTTCTATTGCTTCACCACGGTTCTTGTTTGCTTAAAATTTGTGATTTTTGCTACTCTAGTTACATTTATTTATGGAGACCTCGTGTCCAGGATTAAATGAACTCGATTAGCTTCTAATTGTCGTCCAATGATATTGATACTAATATGTATCTAATATTTTAAAATCTTACTGGAATTTTCGCTTTTCTTATAAACCTCTCTCTCTCTCCCTTAAATCAATACATATCTAGATCATTTTTCATATCTAGATCTTTTTGCTAGTCTTCCAAGTTCCAACATAAATCATGAATAAACAGCATACCAACCAAGGTTGCTGAATCAATGATGTTGAAAAGCAGAGTAAAATGTTTTGAGGAATATGGATTTATGAAGTAACTTTGCAAGTGATTTTTTTTATTTATTGTTTTGTACGTCAGACAACTGCAGACAGCGATGCTGTTTGTCCAGATCGGGCGAGTTGGGGCTAAATGTGAGCCCAACTCAAGGTACAAAAACCATCAAACCAGGCCTTAGCCAATCCAACTTTTAGTCCATCAAGCGCAACCAAAGCCCAACTCGGTCATGTTTTCTGAACTTGGGTTTGGTTCAGGTTGGTCTGATTATACTCAATTTGCTTAGATTAGACTAGGATTGCTCAGTTAGACTTGAGTTGGTCTTGGGTTAATTAAAATGTAGGTCAGATCGTGTTGGACTTGGGGTTTCCGAATCCTCTGCCAACCCCTACCCCAATTGAGGTCCAATCCAATGTAAAAATATATATATATATATGGAAAAGGGGCTGCCGAAGCCCGTCTGAAAATTGGATTGGCTTCATTTTGTGCTGCATGATGGTTGAAAAGTTTTATACACTTTAACATTCTCTAATGTCTTTCAAAGCTGAAAATTTATATAAGGTATGGGTTGAGCTTTTGTTTATGAACAATCACTATTTAGATGATTGGATCAATGGCTTATTTTTTTTATCCTTAAATGTAATTGAACTAATATGAAATTCAGTCCGTCCTTCAATTTACTTGTTCCATATATGGATTTTCAATTTTCAGTTCCGTTAAAAATTTATACTAGAGATCTGGCTTCCAGTGCATTTAATGTTTCGTTTCACAGATACTTCAAGTTATACTGAAAATCCCCCAATTTTTGTAGAAAGGGTAAAATTGAAGGCTTTGGTGATATTCTTGTAAGGCATGTGGTAGTTTATAAACTAAGGACAGCGACAAGGATATGTAACATTTTCTTCTATCTTATCAATGGAGTACTTAAATTGTGAAAATGGATATTTTCGCATTGTTAATGAAAGCTTTCCATGGTTCTATCACTCTTAGCAGCTCATTATTATATATAATATTTTCCATGCTCATTCTTTGAAGGTTTTTTTTTTAAGAGATTGTTTCATAACACAATAGATTCTTCCTTTGTTGAATTTGAATTTACCGTTAATTAATGGTTTATCTGCATTTTTCTTCCTTCTTTTGCGTTCTCATTGGTGAATTCTTCCAATAGCTTATGGCGAACATTGAGGAGACCGTTGGCATAGGCAAAGGGACTCCCAAAATCTATGCAACTATCGATCTAGAAAAGGCTAGGGTTGGGCGGACCAGAATTATAGAAAATGAACCCAACAGCCCCAGGTGGTATGAGTCTTTTCATATTTATTGTGCCCATACAGCTGCAAATGTTATATTTACTGTCAAAGATGATAATCCAATTGGGGCAACTTTAATTGGAAGAGCTTACGTACCAGTTGAAGAACTCCTAGATGGGGAAGAGACAGATAGATGGGTTGAGATTTTGGATGAGCACAAAAATCCTATACATGAAGGTTCCAAGATCCATGTGAAACTACAATTTTTTGATGTCGCTCGAGATCGTCAATGGGCTCGTGGAATTAGAGGCGCCAAGTTTCCCGGAGTTCCTTACACATTTTTCACACAGAGACAAGGATGCAGGGTTTCTTTGTACCAAGATGCTCATGTGCCTGACGGATTTATCCCAAAAATCCCTCTTTCTGGAGGCAAGTATTATGAGCCCCAGAGATGCTGGGAAGATGTCTTTGATGCACTCACTAATGCAAAGCACTTGATTTACATTACTGGCTGGTCTGTATATACTGAAATCAGCTTGATAAGGGACTCCCGGAGGCCAAAGCCAGGAGGAGACATCACGCTTGGGGAGCTGCTTAAGAAGAAGGCAAGTGAAGGGGTGAGGGTTTGTATGCTTGTTTGGGATGACAGAACTTCTGTGGATGTATTCAAGGAGGATGGGTTGATGGCCACCCATGACGAACACACTGAAGACTATTTCAGAGGTACTGATGTGCACTGTGTCTTGTGCCCTCGTAATCCCGATGATGGTGGAAGCATAGTTCAGGATTTACAAATCTCTACCATGTTCACTCACCACCAGAAGATTGTGGTGGTGGACAGTGAGATGCCTAGCGGAGGATCACAGAGGAGGAGGATTGTGAGTTTTGTTGGGGGTATTGATCTTTGCGACGGAAGATATGATTCCCCATTCCATTCCCTTTTCAGGACATTGGACACCGCGCACCATGATGATTTCCATCAGCCAAACTTCCCTGGTACTTCAATCACGAAAGGTGGACCCAGGGAGCCTTGGCATGACATTCATTCCCGGCTTGAAGGTCCCATTGCTTGGGATGTTTTGTTTAATTTTGAGCAGAGATGGAAAAAGCAAGGTGGGAAGGATGTACTTGTTTCGCTGAGAGAGCTTGAAAGTATTATTATTGCCCCATCTCCAGTAATGTACCCTGATGACCATGAGACATGGAATGTTCAGTTGTTCAGATCCATTGATGGGGGGGCTGCGTTTGGCTTCCCTGACACGCCTGAAGATGCGGCCAGAGCTGGTCTCGTCAGTGGGAAGGATAATATCATTGACCGAAGCATTCAGGATGCTTATATCCATGCTATTCGACGAGCGAAGCATTTTATATATATTGAAAATCAGTATTTTCTCGGAAGCTCCTTTGGCTGGTATTCGGATGATATTAAGATCGAGGATGTTGGTGCTTTGCATCTAATTCCAAAGGAACTTTCATTAAAGATTTGTAGTAAGATTGAGGCTGGGGAGAGGTTCACTGTCTATATTGTGGTTCCAATGTGGCCAGAGGGAATTCCAGAGAGTGGATCAGTTCAGGCAATATTAGATTGGCAGAAGAGGACAATGGAGATGATGTATAAAGATATTGTTCAGGCTCTCCAAGCTAAGGGAATTGAGGAGGATCCAAGGAACTATTTAACATTTTTCTGCCTTGGTAATCGGGAGGTCAAGAAGAGCGGAGAATATGAACCTTCAGAAAAGCCAGATGCCGATACAGATTATATGCGAGCCCAGGAGGCCCGGCGCTTCATGATCTATGTTCATGCCAAGATGATGATAGGTAAGTGGCAGCATTACATTTTTATAGTTAAGTTGCATTGCCTTGTGGAAATTTACTGCTATTCAAGATACAAAATCTTCAGAAGTCTCTGCTAATTTTAAATTAACACGAATCTTTTGTCTGCACCAAAACTTATAAAATGACTCGAAATCCAATCAAAATGTGTTGAAATTTTATTAACATAGAACTCCATGTCGTAGATATTGAATATCATTTGAGTTCAAAAATATCATTATTTAATGTTCTTGCACATTAATGAACATGTGCAAGAACAAAAAATTTAAGTCGGATTGTGAAGTTAACCCATTTCTTTTACAGTTGACGATGAATACATTATAATTGGATCTGCCAACATCAATCAGAGATCCATGGATGGTACCAGGGATTCAGAGATAGCCATGGGAGCCTACCAACCATATCATTTGGCAATCAGACAGCCAGCGCGAGGTCAGGTTCATGGTTTCCGGATGGCCTTATGGTATGAGCACCTTGGAATGCTTGATGACACCTTCGACTGCCCAGAAAGCACTGAATGTGTCGGGAAGGTGAATCAAATCGCTGACAAATATTGGGATATCTTCTCAAGTGAGAAACTTGAACACGACCTGCCTGGTCACTTGCTCCGCTACCCCATTGCGGTTGCCAGTGAGGGCAACGTCACAGAGCTGCCGGGATTTGAGTTCTTCCCCGACACCAAAGCACGCATTCTTGGTGCTAAATCGGATTACCTTCCTCCTATCCTTACTACCTAAGCGGGGAACCCTCTACTTGAAAAACATAGCGAACTCTTTTAACTTATCCTCTCCTCATTTTACAGGACCAGTGGTTCCTAGTAAGGATAATAAACTATGTTGTGGCATAATCTGCAGAGATGTTATAATTTTCTGCATATTTGTTCATACTAGGTTTTACAAACGGTTGGGTTATTGCTTTTGTGTGATTTTGATGCTCCGTATTCTAGTCACTCATCCCACTTCTTGTTATTGAAATGTTTTTGTTACTTGTTGAATTATGCTAGTCTTAACTAATCTCTTTGGGCGACATTTTAGTAACGTCTTTATTTTATTTGTAGACTTTTTAGTAACTCGCTATTCATAATATAGAAAGCTTTTTCCTAGGAAGCATGAACACTCTTTAGGGTGATGTGGCCACGACACGGGTCGGACACGGCTAAAAGTTAATTGTTAGGTTAATTATTTCAAATTTAGTAGAAGGTTCGAACCTCTGATTTATATCCAGAGTCAATTTGATAAGGACTACATGCATAATGTTGTTCAATTAAATTTTTATAAAAAGTGAAGTGCATTTATCTTCTCCTATTGTCAAAATATTTCAACTAAATTGATAAATATACTCAAGTGGAGTCGGCGAGTACGCAAAGTGCAGCTTTGTATACTCGGCTAAAATATTGTTAGTCTTAGGAATTATTCTGGTTGAAATAATTAGGTTAACTATTATTGTTATTTAAAGGCAAAATTATATATATATATTTTTAAAAGGTGGAGTGAGAAAAACTGCTAAGTCCTTTTGGTTTAATTCTCAAAATAACAAAAATTTCAATCAATTTGAAATTAGAAAAAAAAAAATATTTTGAGAATTTTAGTAGATTATTATTTAAAATCAAGTCTTATTTATAACTCAATTGTCAAAAAATAATCAACCAAATAATTATTCAAAACATCTTTTTAATTCCATGAGAAACTTTTTCTAAGAAAACCAAATAAAATTGATCCAAAATACAAGCCCTTTAGGATAAAAGGAGACGTGAAGCATTGGCTCATTTGTATAGTCCAAACCGAACCGAACACCAAGAAAGCACCAGCTACTACTTCTTTCTTTCATTCAAAAAGGCAAACTCACTCCTCCAGATTCTTAAGCCTATCAATATAGTCCTCACATTACAATTCTTTTTTTCTTTTTTGTATCAGGTAACTATTCTCCTACAACACACACACACACACTACATAGTCTACATGCTCGCGTGGACCTGTCATACAATAAATATAGTATATACTACTATACAGTTTATGCGTTCGATCTTTCTTGTGAATTGAAACCAATTATATATAATATATACTACTATATGTATTCTATTCTGAGCTCACATGGTGTGTTCTTAGCAACAGCCATAGCCGTCTCCGGCGCCGCAATCTTCCTCGCCCTGCTCCGGAGGGAAAAAAATTTCCCACCTACACAAATTTCCTCCGGTAATCAACTAATTCATCCCCATCATCCCACAAAGCAAATTCTACGTTCTTGCTTATCTTCAGGTAAAAGGTCACCTTTCCTTGCTTTATCATTCAATTATTTCTAGAGAACTATAAAAAAATAATTATTTTAAAATAATTTCTTTTTAATGGAATTTTCAGAAAACTGAAACTATTAACAAAATTAATTTTTTATAATTTTAAATTTTCAAAAAATTTTAAAAAAACTGAACCACACGTGCCTCAACCTCATTGTTATAGAGTTGAGATTCTGCTATGCCATTTGAATGAATGTGTATTTGTTACTTTTTTTAAGTTTTGGATGAGGATAATATTGATTTGTTTTGTTTGTTTGGTTTAAAACATAGATGAAAAGAGAAGGGAGAGAAAGAAGAAGAGAGTTCAATTTGCTGATAGCGTGAAGGATGGTGAGGAGTTGAGGAAAGAGAAGAAGAGGAAGTCAAAAAGAAGTTGGTGGACGGAAAATCCTGAAATCCACGGAATACCGGGGAATCGGGTGGCTTTGTACAATGGAATTCTCAGAGATCGTGTACCAAGGATGGAGTGCTCTTATTGATCAATCCAAGGTTTGGGTTTTGTAATTTGTTTGGGCTGAAACAAATTTGAAGGGAAAGGGACCATGGATTCTAAATACTGGAACTTGAAGCTTATTTGTCTATTCTCGCTAGCACGCTCTTAGGCGTGTTTTGTTTTAAGCCATTCTTTTGTTGCAGTCTGATTTAAATAGTAATAAGAAGTATGTTTGGTAGCATGTCCATTTGTCATAAGATTTTTTGAAATAAAAAATATTAAAATTTATTTTGTTAAAAAATATTACAAGTTCAAAAAATATAATAATTAGTTTAAAAATATCATTTAAAAGTTTTTCATAAAAAAAAAATTTATTTATTACTTTTCATCACTACAATATATATTACTAAATTGATGTTTTGATTTTTGGTCACTATCAGGAAATGTTTTAACACTGTATAAAACAACTGTCCATTATCTTAACATAAATAAAAACATAAAAAATAATGTTTTGATTTTTAGTTACTATTCACGAAATGTTTTAACACTGTATAAAACAACTGTCCATTATCTTAACAAAAACAAAAATATAAAAAATAAAAAGTGTATCAAACAGGCCTTACTCACTCAGAATAGATTTTATCAGGATAGAAAGAAAATATATGAAATACCAAATTATAAAGAAAAAAAAAATTTTATAAGTTTTTTTGACCGGCACCGGAACTCACCTGTGCAGGCCCGAATTTCAGTCGAGGGTTATAGTTGAGAGAAAAAAAATAAAAGAGTTGGTGACAATTATTATGTGGCTCCAATTTTATACTCTCTATTTCAAAAAGAATATTTCTTTTGAAAAACTGTCACTCACAAATAAAAGACCACAAATTAACCATAAAATTTTTAAAAATATATATTACTTGATTTTTGTTCTCTCAGCTTATAAAATTGATGACTTACAAATTTATTTATTTTCTCAAATTTTTTTTTTTTTTTTTTGGGTAAGATCAGTGATGCATGCGCCGAAAAAGTTTGACCGAATTTAAGCCTATTGCTGATATGGCAACACAGCAAATGTTCCAAGTCTAGCCACTTTGTTAAATAAAAATTTAAAGACCGAACAACCTTCTAGTATCCCTCCCCACCACAGTCTTCGTCAACCATCCAGAACCTCCACATTCTTCCCTCTTCTACATCACACGCCACTCTTCTGCTTCCTTATCATCCTTTTTAATTTCTACAATCTTTTGTAATATCAATTGTTCCCTTTTTTTAATTTTCACATTGTCCTTCTAAGTTTAACGGTGTATATTATTAAGTTAGGAAATATTTGAAAACTCAACGGATAATTATAAAAAAATTAATAGTTTTTTGAATTAATTTGTTAAATGAAAAAAATTAATTTAGAACACCCTAAAATAGAATAGTGAACAACTAATATAGAGAAAAATGGACAATATAATAAAAGGCTTAGTTTCTTCAATCTTTTGTAATATCAATGATCACTCTTGCACTTTATACTTTACAAGTATGTGTAGATACATACAAATTTAAGTTTAAGATAAATTAAAAAGAGAAGTTAATGTATCAATAAACAAAGGACAACTCCAATTGTGTAGCACACAGATTTGGCATTCTCTCATTCAATGTATTAAGAAATCTTATAAGATGTGTTCTGCGGCTTGAAATTTGAACATTGGAAGTAGAATTAGTAAAATTTGAAAAAATATTGATTCAATTTTTTTAGACTTCTTTTTTTTTTTCAAATTTTACAAAATTCAATTTTAAGTCTCCAATTCCATGCAACCGAATACATCTATAAAAAAATATAAATTGTACTCTCAACATGGCATGCATGCACCCGAGTCTCAACGGTAAAACCCCCTTTTAATTTCAAGCCTAACTAAGTTGACCAGACTAAATGCAATGAACATAGAAATCTCTCCATCTATGTGTAATCTGCAGACATTTTTAAGTAAATTTTGGAATGCAAGAGGCGGGAGGAGAGAGTGAGGACGAGGAAAATTCAAAGAAGAAATGGAGTAAGAAGGGGCTTCCTAGAGAATCCCAACTTACCATAACTGAGGGCATTTTTACACCATTTGAAGTCCAGATTCATCCTTTTCTATGTCTACAATTACAATTGAAAATGAGATTATTATTATTTTATTATTTTAAATATTTAGTTATTTTCAAAATATAAATAAACATAAAGTGAAATGTTGAACACAAAACATTTCAATTGTTTTGCGTTTTTCGCAACTTAATTATCATTTGCAAGTTCAATATGATTTTGTTATCTCCAAAATTTAGAATTTAATTATTATTTAAAAATTTAAGAATGCAAAATAAGTTATTCCTTCTTTCTTGAAATAAAAACACTGTGACCCGTAAAAATGAACACTTATTTTAGAACAGAAAAAAGTAATAAGTGTTTGAGAGAGAAAGTAATAAGATGCTTAATCAAGTTGTTAGCCTAATGGTTAAATTTCCTTTGTGAATGTTAATATTTATCTTTATTATTTTTATAATGTAAAAAGAAAAATTTAGTACAATTATTTACAAGCATTCGCTTGTATATTTTTGTTGCCTTTTTCTTTGTAATTTAACATTTGTACTCCATTTTATTACTTTAGTTTCTATTTCTATTTGATCAACATCAAAAGAATAATATTTGAAGAAAAATTAACATCGAGATTCAATAGTAGATTGTAAACACATTTTAATATTATTTGTGGAGTGTTAGAGGATTTTTACAGAATAATTGTTTAATTTAATTTAATTTATTTTAATATTGTTAAAAAATAGTAAATAAATATACTAGCAGTCTCTAAAATTCCCAATATATATAATTTTTCACTTCTGCTCATTAATTACAAAAAGAAAAAGGCAAAGGTATTCAAGTTCGGAAGGCGATCGATTTCAGGAAGGAGATCGAAAGCAATGGCGGAGGCTCTCAGGTCCCTCTCTCTCTCTCTACATATATATGATTGTATAAATATCAGATGCATTTATATATATATATCTGTATACGTCTCGGTCTGAGTTTGATTATTGCATAAATGAATCACAGGGCTCTATGATCTTTCCTTCCTGGATTCGATGTTTCTCGCGAGAGCACTGTTAGATATCAGATCTATTACAGCTTGGTTCGTTCACATAGCCGCATCGATGGGGTAAGTATATTATCAATTTGATTGTAGACATGTATCCATTTATCATTTTGGCAACATTGATAATTAATGTTCATCTTGGATCGATTTGGAAATATATTTGTGGATATGTAACTTGCGAGTGAGCTTCTTCTGATTTGGATTAGCCCTTTTTTTATTTGGCGGGGTAAAGATTGATGGTTTTTGAATTTATGCGCCACACTGTTCTGGTATCTAGATTTTTATACGAAATTGTTGATTGTGTATCTGTTGAGTGGATTTTGTTTTTTCAGGTCATAAATAATGAAAATTTCAATGTCATTGGAATTGGCAGTGTAAATGCCATTTGTTGAGTTAAGTGATGATTAAGTGAGTAATTTATCTTCTGGGTTTAGCTTAATTTGTTTGTCTGACCATAGGTGTTTGATGAAGAGTATTTGGAAAATGTTGAAAAATGTTTGAAACCTTGGCTTTGATAGCTGGTATTATCAATTCCAACACAATAATAGCATTTAAAAAAATTGTTTATCATTTAGAAAGAATTTATTTGCACATTTACGTCCATATATGATGATAATTTCCGGGATTAATAAATAGTAGTATGAATGAAGGTTACTTTTTATTACTTCATTAGGAATGGGTCATTATCCGGTGTGGTCTCAATTAACTAAGGTAATGGTAGGGATTGACTGAACACAGAGTGATTGCTCTTAGGATCCGAATTCATTTTCTCCTGCTTGACAGGCTGAGCACTATACTAGTGCGCAAAGCAATGGCCCATACAGAACTTCATTATGAATTGAAGGAAAATCTGTTATACAAAGTCCAAGTTACCTAGGCATCTAAAATGCTGGTATTTTTCTTCCTAAAATTTTGAAGAATTACATAAAAAAGATGTTTAGCAACAGATATGATACTTAGGTTGCTGACAAAAGATGAAATGCTTAGGTCTGATAACAGATGGAATGCATAGGTTGACTACATATTTTAGGACTTAGGAAGTCAGGTTGCCTAAGATCATCCAACTATAATTCTTGCCCTAAATAATCTTTGATTTCTATTACGTCATATAACAATTTAATTTATCTCATACATATTTTCCTGGGGGTGTACCTAAGCAGTTAATAGTTCCACTTGCCAATTTTCTTCTTGATTTTGGGTGGACGTTCACAGTGACCATAAGTGGAACTAAAACAAGAAGCGATCTACTTTGAGCAGCAGATCACCTTGTGTGAATGTCTAGTAGTTAGGTGCATCTCTAAAATCTGGGGGGATATTGGTGTCACTAACATATGCACCTGTTAGTTTTTGTGAGAACTACTTGGGATCCCTTTTTTTTTTTTTTTTTTTTGAATGAGTTGACTCTTTATCTTGATTCATATATGAATATTGCTATTCATATTTATACTTTTTAAATTTTTGCAAGTTATGGAATAAAATCCATGTACTGATCTTATTAAATTTCCTTTGATTAACTTCATACTTATTCTTTCACTTTTCCTTTTTTATTATCTCGCTTTAATTCTTTGAGTTATCACCTCTATAGTTGTGCCTTCTCTACTGATCATTGATGTTAATGGATGCTTATGCTTGTTTCCTAGTGTCAGTATATTCTATTTCCTGAAAGTGTAGTGACTATTATCCAACGCTCTAATATTTCAGAGTGTACGGTCATAACTAGACCTAGAGAGGGGGTAAATAGGTCTTGTCAATATTAATTTGAAATTTAAATCCCTTTTAATTTTCCTGCTATTTATGGCTTATTCAATTTACCAATTATCTAACATTCACAGAATCTAACAAATACAAGAGTTTATAAAGAGAGTAGAAACACCAAATTTTTACAAATCTAAGCCCTAAACCCTAAACAGAAAAAACCACAAGACCTATTCTGGCCATGAACAATCTACTATAAGAAAAAGAGGTTACAGTTTAAGCTACAGGACTCAAATTCCACGAATCCCTTAGTAACTCCCAACTCAAGACTTATGTAAGATCACCCCTGATCCTTTTGCTGATTCGTCAACAGACTTGCTTCTCACGAACTCTGTTTCTCCATGAATTGTTCAACACGTCTACTCTTGATCGGTTTACTTGTGTTGACTTTTCTGAACACCTTCTAGTTGATCTTTCTCATTTACATACACCAATTAAGCTATGGACATCCTAGATTGACATAACAAGGATTGGTCTCTCTAAAATTGTAGATTCTCTCTTCTCTCACATAGAGACTCATAAGTCTCGCTCTAGACTGATTATAACTTGGTATTTATAGTCAATATAGAAAAGAGCCTAAGCCTGCGCTCATTACAGCATTTTCTCGAAAATGATCATCACTTTATGCGGATCCCAAAGGAGACCCATGCTATAAGGTAGATTGAATCTTCTAAAAGTCTGATTAGAGAGAGTTCCAAAACTATATGTCTGAAGGGTTCGGCTGACTGACACCTTCTGGAGTTCCATCGATTGAACGAGACACACTGGATTCTATAACAATTTTCTGGAAAATCATTCGATCCATCCATCCATCAGTTGAGGCTTACTGGGCAGCCTTCGATTGATCGACCCATCAATCGAGTTGTTCTGTTTCTAATAAAACTTGACTTTTAAAACTTTTCAGAATCTCTCAATGTCAAAGCTTATTTTTGAGAAACATACTTAGGAAATAATTTTGAGTCTCTCAAGATCAAATCTAGATCACTTTAGGGTTTCTAAGGTCAATTTACCTTTGCCCTAAGTATGTGACTGAGGATCCGAATATCACGCCATGATTTTCACAAATCTTTATCTCCAATATTTTCAACTGTTATAACCCAACGACTCAAGACACTTTGACATGTTACAGCCCACGATTTGCGTAGGAATTTGCCAAGACATGACACATTCTTTGCATTTTCTTCTTTCAATTTTTTTTTTTTTTTCCCTTTTCTTTTTAGTGCTCTATACGTTATACTCCTTATTTTAAAATGCTCAGATTTATTAACTTCCTCTGTAGTAGTACCTTAAAAAGTTGAAAAATCAATAATTATTCTACTTTTGTGAATTAAGGCCGTGTCATCCATAAAAGACAAATAATGCGGGGTGTATTCCTGAATATGCCTCATAAGTCATCCGCTCTGGATCAAAGTAATAATGGCTTTATGTTGATCCTCAATGCGAGGCTGCTGTTGGCAGTTTATCCCTTTGTGGGAATCCTACAAGATCTTTTCTTCTTGAAAGGTGGCTTCTTAAACTTGCAAGTTATGAAATAACACCCCTTCCTCTCTCTCGCTCATACAAACCATTTTCCTTCATTACATTTTTTTCTTCTTAATTGATTATTCTTTAACATCTGTCCTCTGCAAAGTAGTCTCCGCAGCCATCTTTCACACTGTAACATGTTTATGCTGATTCTTACATGTTTCCTTCTTCTTGCTGCTGACCCTTCAGATGTCGCATCCACGTAGTTATCAGTTATCACAAAATTTCTTCTTCTTTTCTTATTAAATAGGTTGTCTTGTAAGTCCCCATTTGAAAGGTTTTGAAATCCTTGTCCTTTGTTTCTCTCTCTGGTTTCAGAAGGTGATTGCTTGAATTGTGTGATTCTGTGGGAATTGATTATTTTGTATCTAGTTGCAACACCATCAGTTATTTGGTCACACATGATTCCTTACAGAACTAGATATTTGTAACAGAGCAGTGGTTGCCATACCAAGCCCAAATTGATTACCTCAATTGATGAGCCATTGAAAGGACAAAAGTTTCAAAAAAAAGGACTTAAGCTTCAAGGCCGGACAGTGTCAAAACCTGGCACATCAGACGACTTTTGGACGACCAGCACATGTGAAATGGACAACAGTGCAGTTCAGTCACGGGGAAGCATTTCGTCAATCAGCACTTCAAACCAGAACCAGACTATTGATCTGCATGGTGCTAACAGTGTGAAGATGCCTTCTGAATTTGTAAATAACGGTAAGTTCTTTTTTATTCTTGTATGTTTACTGACCTTACTAGGCGTTTAGAATGTCCATGTATCTGACTGATTGTGTACATAGAAGCTTAAAGCAGTTAGTGACTTTCAGTTGGAGGGGTCTCTATAGGAACCCATCTGGTACTTTTTAAGAGGAGAATGTTTCTTTCTAATGACTACCTTTCTGTTTATTTTGGAGCTGTTTCTGTGCTTTTTGTTTGGGCTTTATTTTCTTTTGTTGGGGTGGGGGTTGATGGACTCCAATAAAATTTAGCAGGTGGTCAAATTTATTCAATTTCTTAATAATCATTATCATTTTTGACTGCTGGATCTTCTTTGGACATTGACTAATGCATGCTGGTATGAGGAAGAGGGATGGAAAAGGGAAAGTGCGTCCCCTCCATTTCTATGTTTTTGCACTAAAAAAGAAATCTTCATTTAACTTGTAAGAGAATATTAATCATTTAATGCCACTTTCCTCCTCAACCAAACAAATACACAGAAAATTCCTTCCATTTCTTAAGTATATGTCATTTCCTCCCTCATGCCAAACATTTAAACAATAAGGTGGTACACAGTGCATGTGATTTAACCTTGTGCTGTATTACATGGACTCTTCTATCCTTCTTAATGACCTGTATCACCACATCATAACCTGGGTATAGGAATGAGATATATGTTAGACGCATGAAACCAATTCGGTTTGATTATCTACATGTGAAGACTTTTTCAGAGTCCATGTAACATAGACAAAAATTAGATCGTTCTTTTTTTTTTTTTCCCTTCCCCCTTCCGGTTGTGGAGTGGAGTGAAAGAAACTTGGTTTGAAGGGGGAAGAAATGATTGGCGTCATCAATTTTTCATAATATTGCATAAACTACGAGTTGAACTCTGTTTCTGGTTGTTACTGTTTTACATTTGGTTGTGCAAAAATAGACAGTAGACACATTAGGGGTTAGAGACCAAAGGCAGAGGACAAACCTTGTCTTCTGACCTGCTGTGAAATGTTACCACTTTCGTTCTTCTTCCTTTATATCTTTAGCTTATTTTGAATGTTTTGATTGCAGGTCTTCTTTTGTGGAACCAAACTAGGCAGCAGTGGGTAGGAAATAAAAGGCCTGAGAATCGGGCACAACAGCTTCGTGAACCTAAGATAAGGTGAGTTGCTTTGATAGTTTTGAATTGGTCAAAGTGAAAATTGCCCATGATCTGGACATGTTCCAGCATAACCACTCACTATCCATCTATAAATCAAATATGCAAATCTACCGGTCACAACATCATCGAGGCGTAAATTATAATAATAGAATTACAATCATCAAAGTGACCTGCGTGATACTTGATTTGACACATTCTGGTTTGGGGCATGGGAGGATGTCTTAAGTTGAAAAAGAGTTTTTCTTCTCATATGTTCAATCAAATTTGTGAAGAAACTGGAGTGGGTTAGGCTTGGGGAACAGAAGACTAAAATTTAGGGTAAACTGCAAAAAACCCTCCTAAACTGTTACGTTTTTTCAGATGGACCCCTGAATGTACTTAAGGACATGAAGTTAGGTTACCATTAATAGAAACATGAAATTACGAAAATATGCAATTTTTAAATGTCGATGTTTTGCTAATTTCTATTTTACAATATGCACATCCAATAAATTAATGGCAAGTTTATGTGATTCTGAAAATGAAAATCTGCCCAGCCATGACTTGCTCATTTAAGAATAATCCAGTCTTTATGCATATTCTTCTCCTCCATTAATAAACCTCATATATACACATATATATCGATCTGAAGTATAGGACATCGTTATAGTCGTAAGACTGCATAAATTCTTGATCAGATTAACTTGACAAATTTCAAGCTTTCCTGAAAATTGGAAGCCCTGAACATCATAGATTTACTTCACAAGTGAGATGTCTTCATCTAATCCACTATGGGTTTTGTCCATATATAGTAGGATATATGTATCTATGTTTGAGTACGCATGTTGAGTGTGATGGGTCAAATTCCTAAACAGATGGACACTACTAAATATTTATATTATTTTCTAGAGTAAAATAATTTCTTTATATAAATAACTAACATAGTTTCCAATATAGGAATTTTACTCATTTTGAAGCAATGATGTGATAAAAATAAATTAAAAGCTGAATTAGTGGATATGTTTTTTTCCAAAAGTGCCAGATACATATCTCATACCTGTGTCTTAGAATTGTGTTCTGACATGGTTACTTCAAATGCTTTTGAAGAGTCTATGCACACACACACATGCTAAGTTACGGTGTCGGGTGATTTTGGTGGCTATGATTGGGAGTGGTTATTGTGGATGTTGAAGTTGTGATGTGGCCATTGTGAGGATCAGTTCTGATAGTTTCCTTACAAGGTAGTCATGGTATAGAATTGAGAAGATCTGTATGATCAAGAAATATCAAGGGCTAGGTGTCTCTAACTTAGGCTCAGAAATGACTCCATGGGCATGCCCAAGTCAGAAATAGTATTTTCTTCGGTAAAGCTGTTCCACTTTTAGGTCAAGAAATGGTTGATGGGTTGGGTTTCTATGGATTTAAAGGGTATAATAGTCATATTAGTCTTGTGCAATGCACGTGACTAAATTCCGTTAGTTTTTATATTGTTAGTATGATGGCAAGAGGACTATTTGCCAAAATTTGAATTGATTAGGGGTTTATTTTGCCAAAAAATTAGTTCTGGGAGTTGGATAGAAAAAAAATATTCTCAGTGGTGTCTATGCAGTTACCGTAAAATTTATAGCCTATTTTTTTGTCAGTCCATTTGATTTTTTTAAATGGAATTATTTTGATCTATTTGTTTGGAGTTTGGACTCCTATAAAATTTTGTTTCAATCTTTGGGTAGTCATCTTTAAATATATTTTTATAATTCTAAATTTTTTTTTCGATATGACATACTGTGAATTGGAACTCACAAGGCTTCCACAATTTATTGTTAACATGAGAGGCGTTCGGGTAGTTTTTTTTTTTTTTTCTTCTGCATTCCTACTGTGTTCAGTCAAACACTGATGGTGTTTCCAAGGTAAAAAATTTCTGGCTTTGCAGTTGGAATGCAACCTATGAGGGTTTGCTTGGGAGCAGCAAGCCATTTTCCCAGCCTGTACCCCTTTGTGTAAGTTTTGCACCTGCAAGATATTGGTTTTGACTCTTTCGATCTCATTGTTTGATGACATGTTCTGCTCATTTATTTGGAATGAACAGGAAATGGTGGATTTTCTGGTCGACGTCTGGGAGCAGGAAGGGATGTACGATTGAGAAAACAGAAGCAGGAGGTTTTGATGGTTGGTTAGATATTAGAATCCGCCAACACTGTTGTAGAATCAACTTGCTTCAATAGCAGAAACTCAATTGAAAAGAGGACATTTTGTATATTAATTGTAACATTAATATCGCCTGCCTATGCTGATCTTTTTCACTCTACAAGCCTTTTTAGACATGCCACTTGTATGTATGTCAGTATATTAAATTAAAAAAAAAAAAAAAAAAAAAAAAAAAAAAAACTGAGCCTCTGCTTTTCTACCCAGCAGGTCGTTTCTCAGGATTTCTGAATATTGCTTCAGAACATATCGGAAAAGTTTACCAGAGAGTAGAAAATGGTTAATAGGTTGGTTATTCTTCTGTTTTGTCTTTTATATATACTTGGTTTAGGTGAATTAATGAGTTAACCAATTATGTGGAAAGGAAAAAAATAAAAAAATACTATGGTGGTTGTTGGTTAGGAAAGAATTAGAGATAAGCTTAGCATTTGTCATTATTTTCAGATTATGTGATTGTTGTCGATCTTTAAAGATAAGTATGCTCTTAGCAAATGGTCTCAAATCTTTTGAGCTAACTAGAGCAGATATACTATGTTTCTAGTTTCAACTGAGCATGGACAATACGTTGACCATCCATTAGATGCGTGTGTATTGATGGGCTTGGACAAGGCTCATAAGGAAGTGGTCAAGTAACTCTAAGAATAAAAAAATAAAAATTACTCAGCTTAAATAAAGTGAATTTTATAAAAAAGAAAAAAGAAAAGTGAAATTCCCTCTGGATTACTCGCTAAGAATCCGTAGTATGGTTAAGGAACAAGCAAGAAGGTTCTGGTGCTCGTATGGGCCGTGACATGACACCCCCTCCTAGAGACATCTCTTACTGTGCAAAAGCCAACACCTCCAACCTCTTTAAAAATCTCTAATAATACTCTCTCTCTCTCTCACTCATAATAGAAAAAAATACAGCTTCTGTAATCTCTCTCTAAAAGCTTCTCCGGCTATGGCTTTAGTTCGTTTGGCTATGAAGAATGTGCAACAGAGGGTGGTCTCACCTTCTTCATGTTCTCTGTTGTCCCAAAGTTTTAGTGAGAGGAGTCTGAGTGCAGCACACAAACAGAGGTGGGGATCTGAACTTGTGAAGAGTCTGTCGACAACAACCGAGAAGACAACGCAACAACTGCAAGCTGAGGGTGCCAAATCATCAGACAACCGGGAGGTCTCGGTGTCTGAGGGTGCCAAAAAATCCAAGCTGTTTCCCAGTAGGAAAGGCAGGAAGGGACTCTGGAGGAACAACGACCCTCAGCTTGTTCCTTCTCTCCATGGTACAAATTCAACTCTCTCTATGTATAGTTTGTCCATCTCTAGTTGGAAATATTACATACTTCCCTCTTTAAGTCCCAACTCCAACTATGTTTAAAAGTGTAAGAAATTCACCATCGCTTGTCACTTAGTAGCCTCGGATGGTTGCAAACTTTGTATGTTTGTTTTCAAACTAAAATAAATTTTGATAATTCCGTTTGTTGTAGAATTCATTCCTTCAGGGCTTGGAGATGCAATCGTGCAAGCAACCCATAACATGACCAGGCTTCTGGAGAAGTTGGCGCCTTCGCGCCTCCTTGGCCGATTCAAAGAAAAAGATGAGTGCTACATGATGAAGTTTGAGGTGCCGGGTATCTCGAAAGAGGACATAAAGATCACGGTTGTAGATGGTGTGTTGACAATAGTAGGAGAGCACAAGGAAGAGGAGGAAGAAGGGTCTGATGACGAGTTTTGGTCGGCTAGAACCTATGGTTTCTATAACACAAGTATTATACTTCCCGAGGATGCAAAGGTGGATGAAATTAAAGCTGAAATGAAGGATGGTGTGCTGTTGATTACCATACCCAAAAGTGAGGAGAAGAAAAAAGATGTGAAGGAGGTTCAAGTTCAGTGATGTCATTAATTCAATTCTCTATGTAACGAGGCTGCGTTTTGTTGTTTCTTGTGTTTTCATAAGGTACTTTCCCTTTGTTTGGAGTTCAAATGGAAATAAGAGCATGTTTTTGTGATGCTTTTAGGTACTTGTGAATCTGTGTAATGAATGTATAGTTGCAATCTGGTGCGGGCCGATAAGATCATGTTTTTCTGGCCAATTTGGTATGATTACAGAACGATTATGGAAGATGGAGAAATTGGTTTCTAGTCTTCAAGGACTAGGAAATGATTTTTTTAAAAAAAATGAAATTAAGTTTCCGAGGGTGTGAATACTTGAAATTTTGACTGTGACTTGGGCCCAGTGTAAGGCCCTTATACCCGAAACAACAAATTTTTTTTTTTTTTTTTTTTTTGGGGGGGTAAATCAACGGGCTTTTAGGTTAGTTTGGGCCGGGCTTCTTTTGGGTGCCTTTTGTGGCTTATTTGGTCTCTGGGCCTTTTTTGATGGACCTCTTCTGAAATGTTAGATGCGACAATGCCCACAATAGGCCATATTGGCCTATGCGCCTCATCTCCAGACTCTTCAGATGGGTAACTTGGTTATTTTTCACATATATATATATATATATATATATAAGTGTACACTTATTTACAGAAGAGCATCACATGGAGGAAATTTTCATATATTATTCATTAATATGCTTTTAACATTTCAACCACAATAAGTGATTTAGTTAATTGGATTCATAATTTATTTATTTTCAAAAGTTTCATTTGAGGGTATTTTTGCCGAGTAATTGAACCATAATATTATTTATTTATATTGGGTAAAACCTTTATGTAGGGTGGAGTTTGGTTTGTCTGAAAATAGGAAGTGGTCCGAAAAGACAATTGAAACATGTCTGTTTTATACGGATATGACGCCATGCTTTTGAACAGTTATAAGCACAGAGTTGGTGGACTGCAAAGTCTTATCATCTTGTACCAAGACTTTGACGTGTATTTATAATTAATTAAGGAAGATATATGCATTCTCTGAGAGTCGGACACACACATATATAGTCACATGAATATGAATATATATCTCTCCTGTGAAATCTGAACCGTCGGTGTCAATTAACTTTCTTGTCATTTATCGTACTGACAATGGATTCCTATTTAAGATTCTTTTATGAAGAAACAAGTGATACTTGTCGTTGGATTCTTCTGAAGCTTGCAAGTCTCCAAACCTGTAGAAAAATACTCCATACACACTCTTTAAATACTCTGTACCCCATCTCCTAAGGTGGCTCATTGATAGGGTGAATTTAATTCTGTGACTAAAACAGCTAGAATATTTGATGACACATTGTTAAAAGTCACCCATTAGCGGTGGTCTCCGTTAATTAAAAAAAATTACTATAGTTGTATCAAATAAATAATTTCAAGGAGGTTAAAAAAACAGGAGCTGTGTTACGTTAAGGCGATTGTGGTTTGATACTTTATTTTCATCTTTTAATAGTGATATCGTCATTGAAGGTGACTCTGAACCACAGTCAGCTCCTCTTCAACTACAAATGATACTGGGCTCCTCTCGAATGGTGAATATCATTCCAACTCCGTCGTGGTCCAACCGCTAAACACAATAATATATATATTGGTTCACATTAGAAGTTAAACCATGGTCCACCAAAGATAATGATTCAAATCGATCGTGCACTTTCTATGTGACACCCTCATTTTGAAATTCACACACACACCAAATTAAAGACTTTCTTGAGAATTGAAGCTTAATATAATATATATATGTATAAATATATATATATATATATATTCCAAGGAAAATAACTCAGTTCCCAAGTCTATTCAAACAGAACTGTACTGAAAACACACAGTTAACAAAACCCTAACCTTTTCAACTGTTAACAACAGTTCATGCTAAAAAGAAAAAGCAATGTGAACCTCTAAAATGAATCCTTCAACAATATCATTGGGAACCTATAAAATTTGTCATATTTGCATTATATATATATATATATATATATATATATGTATGTAAAGCCTATCAGATAATAACTCAGAGTGTGAGTGAGCATGCATTTAAGCATTTTTGTCAAGATATAGTACATCTTAAGTTTTGACTCCTGTCATTCTCTTACTCTTTCAAACAGATGTTTAAGTTGGTATTCAGCAGCACAGATAACACCAACCATTCATATAATAACATTCACTTGTTTCTAGCTGGAATCAATATTCAATCGCAGAGATAGGACATCTCAACTGAGTAATATTTATTGAGAAAACTATACATTATTTATTTTTATTTTATTAATTTTATTTTTTTACCGTAGATTATTACAAAACACCAACTTCAATTTTGTTGCAGTCTGATCCTAAGGGTAATTTGGTAATTTCAGGAGTCTATAGGATAGTCAAGTCCTCCATTAGCTAGCTACTCAATCGAGGACATCACATACTCAGTTTAGTCCTTCACTGAAAACCTAAAGTCAGTGCAACATTTTCCCAAAAGTAGAAAGTGAATATAAATTTTCCTTTTGTTTGTGTGTGATGCATTTAATTAGTGAAATAGCTCACTGGTTCAGACTACTGTCTCTTTTTCTTGGAAACAGTTTTTAACCTTGTCTCCAAATATATATACTTATATATCTCCACCTTTTCTAAGCACTCAAGTCCATCAAAACTAATTTTCTTCTCCTCCTCCCTCCTCCTTTCACAACATCCCTTTCTTCTACTGCCACATTTATATATACATCAAAAGTTCCATATATATATATATATATATATAATATATATATATCAGTTTTCATTCACTTATGGCTCCATCAAGAAACAATATAATCACAGTGATTCTCATCTTTTCTCTCATATTTCTACCTTCCAAATCAGGTAATTAAGACCAAATCATTTCACTAGACTTTTGTAGAACTTTTCAGTTTCTATATATACAAAAATTATATATGCATGCATTTAAGCATATGCATGTTTTGTCTATTTTACTAATTGCTATGAACAATAATATTATATATGCAGATTTAGTAGTTCAGTCGAAGTACTTATCAACAAGTGAGATTGTGCAGCAAATGAAAATGGTGTTGGGTTCAAGACCTCCAGCTTGCGTGAACAAGTGCATGAATTGTAGGCCTTGTTTGGCTACTCTAGTTATTCCTCCACACCAAAAGAAGGGCTTTAGAGAATCATCTCATGGAGAGGAGGATAACTATTATCTCCTCTCATGGAAGTGCAAATGTGGAGAAAAGTTTTATAAACCATGATCGATGCCATAACGTACATATACATATATATGCGTCATGCATGCTGTCTCTATGTATATCATTTATAGCTAGATAGAAGATCATGACTCATGAGATGATAACATATATATGTGTTATGCTCTCGCTATATATAGATCATTATAATTAGCTAATTAAGAGATTATGCAGGTTACAGTTAATTGTAATGTTAAGTTTCCCTCTCTTGATCTCCTTATTCTCTATGATGGTACTTATTTATTTATAATGACCACACGCATTATGAAAATTTATTGCTAGTTAATTCATCGAATATTATTTCACACTTGAATACGGTGATCGAATTAAAAGGAAATCTCGGATTATAATTCTGCCAAATCTCTTAATTCAAGAATGTATGTAGTTCGAGTGGTTAAACAGTATAAGAAGTAATCTGTAAGTCAGTGAGACACTAATCAGCTAGACTTTATTTTAATCCATGGTTTATGTACTGAAATTAATGGATCATGTAATTTCTTTTATTATTTATTTATTTTTGTTTTTTTCAAAGTTCCTATGTTATAGTCATGGAAGTATTATCGTGAAGAGAATCATTTCCCAACAATTAAAGCATCGTATACCACACAGAGAGGCTTGTGGTCAAAATGTTTCTTTTATGTTGACACAGTTCAAGTGATTAAACATTTGAGATAATAATTATGAAAGTCGGTGTGACACTAATCAGCTTAAACTTAGAAAGATAATCATTTTCTAACAATGAAGCATAACCACTGCCCTTACCTAAAGTGGTTGACCTCCATGGGGTTCAAGTCCGAGTATTTTTCTAGTAAAATACATGTATCGTACTCATATAAAAACAATAAGGGCAAATTTCATCCCTTCACTTCCAATTTTTGGCACAAAATCTCCCTACAATTTTTTTTTTAATAACTTAAACCTCCTCCCCCTACAGAGGTTTTTAAGTCAAAAAAAAATTTGTGAAGGGATTTTGTGCCAAAAATTGAAAGTGGAGGGGGTTTAATGCAATTTGCCCTAAAACAATAATGCATTGTACTTCTTTCAACATTTAAGTGAAAAGACCTTTCTCTCCCTCCTTTACCAAAATTAAGATGGTCAAAAGATAATAAATAGCACCAAACATGGAGATGTCATTTGTAAAGTTGAATTAAAAAGCAGCAGAGTGATGCTTTGGAAGGTCAATAGAACTGTTGGGGCAGCTGTACTGGAGTTACAGAGTAGAAGACAAATACCAAAAGTACACCGACTTGTCCCATGCTATTTGTACCCTTTGGTCAAGCATCTACCTATGCGTTTGGTTTTGCAAAATCTTTTCAATCACTAGGAAACAAAGAAAGCAAAAACACGAGTGTTTTTGGTTACATGAGATTGGAGCATTGGAGTCGGAGTTTGAAAAATTTTTGGTTTAATTTTTTTCATTATTTTTTTAAAAATTTTATCAATTTTAATTTTAAAATTCTAATTTCTTACAACTGAATACACCGTGATCTAATTGAAATAAGCTAACCTGGTTTTTACTCTGAGGATGAACTAGTCCAGGCTTGTTTGGTTCTCAATTTGGCTGATGGGTTGACAGCAGGAAATGCTTCTTCAGGTACTATATTGTTTCTGGTTCAATAGTAATAAAAGAAATGTTTCTTTTTTCTTTTTCTTTTTTTATCTGGAAATGTTTCTTAGAGACTGTAAATAGTTAACTAAAAACTGAAATCAAATCAGAAAGGAAAACAAAACTTCAAATTATCAGTACAGTGCTAAAGCTTGATTAAAAAAAAAAAAATTATTGACTGAATGAAAATATGTCCTGGACAATTTAATCAAACAAAGAATGTACACCTTTTGGCCCTTTCTAGAGCCCGAATAAAATAACAGCAACTGATAAATGATGATGTTGGTGATCATATGCATTAACATTGACCATTTGGGGAAGTTTTTGACTGGAATCAAGGTTCTTTCGCGACCGATAACATCGAATCAAGGCTCGTTCGCGACCGGTATCGAATCACGCTGATAACAACTTAAAATGTTGCAGATAGTATGAGGAAGTTTTTGACTGCAAACATGTAACAAAGAGTGCTGGAAGAGCAACATGGGCCAGGTTTTATTTGTCCACTCTTCACAGCCTGTCTCCATGGACTCAAATGGTTGAATTCCAATGAGATTTTTGACTGGCATGTTTGGGCTGACCAATGGGTATATAATGAGTACCCTTATGATCCTTGCTCCAAAATCAGTATTGGTTGAGGAATCAGAAACAGTTGGAATTGTAATGACTCTCTTCTTGGCAATTGGTTTAGCAGAGGTTCAGATCTTGGCAGGTAATGGAACATAGCCCAGTCCTTGATCCTTCTGAACTTAATGCTGTGTTCGGTAGGAAGGAAATAAAATGTGTGAAAAGAAAATAGGAAAGAATGAGCAAACTTCTTTTGTTTGGTAGAGATATATAAGGAAAGAAAAGAGAATAGGAAGATGACCCATCCTTCTTCCTTTACAAATTTTCATTCATCTTTCTTCCTTTACAAATTTTCATCCACCAAAAAATGGGCCGAAGAAAGGAGGGAAGACAACTAGACTATTACAGAATTTTTAAATTAAATACTATCATAAGTTATAGAAAAAAACAATTAAAATTTTCTCTTTCCTTCTCTCCTAAGGAAGATAAAAAATTATGAGTTCATTCTTTTCTCTTCTATCCAACCGAACAAAAAGAAAGAAATACACTATCTCTTTCTTAGGGATATCTCATCCATCATTTCTTTTCTCCCTTCCATCTGATTTTTTTCTTTCCTACGGAACCGAGCATAAAATTGGAAGAGGGATCAATTACACAAGACTTTCCATGTCTTAGTCATATATTTAAATATGAGAACAGCATTTGCAAACTGGAAGTTCTAATTTCCAATTTCTTGGACAATTTGTTTGGATGTCATAGAGAGTAGAGGAATAGGAAAAGTACTTGTGAACTCTGACAGAAATTAATCATGTGAAAGTAAATAGTCATGAGATTTCACCCTCCAAATAGACAATACTATACTCCTAGCATTTGAAGAACGCCCAAATTTGAAAACTCGTGATCCATGTAAACATAAGCTCATTAGAAATCCCAAAAAGAAGAATAAAATCTTTAAAAGCTTCAGTTTCTTTTTCAGTGGCAACTGAAGCTGATCTTTTGATTCTAAACACAATCAACTGAATATACAAAGGTGCTACACCTATAAAATATCCAGAATACATGATCTATATATCACAAAAATTAATATTTATGGCTCAAAAATGTAAAGAGAGGCTAAGAATGATACATTTCATCCAATGGAAGTTCAGACCCTGTAAGTACATCTTTGTCCTCAACATCTGCTTCTATCATCTTGGACCTGATAGCCGAACATCTGACACGAATGTATCACTATTGCAATTAGTCAATGCTGAAGTGCTTTCTTCACTGCTAGATTTAAAGAAACCTGAATAAAGACGTGAAGTCGTCTTGGAGAAAGTTGGGGGATCAGGTATAGGACAAAGGCCTTCAAGCATTTGGACCACCCTAGTCATTGGTGGTCTCGAGTACATATCATCCTGAATACACCATATGGCAACTTTCATTGCAATGATAACCCTTTCATCGTTTACATCGATGTTGAGTTTCGAATCAAGGATTTCTGTCAGTTTTCCTTCTTGCATCATCTTGAAGGCATAAGAGGGAAAATGGGCTTTCTCTGAAGTATCCTCTGGGTTGTAATTCTTCCTTCCCCCAATGATCTCAAGCAAGACCAAACCAAAGCTGTACACATCACTCTTATCCGAGATGGCATAGTTTGTGATCCACTCTGGTGCAAGGTAACCCCTTGTACCCCTTACTGCTGTGAATACATGACTTTGTTCCCGTGTCATTAGCTTTGCTAAACCAAAATCTGAAACTTTGGCCAGGAAATTATCATCAAGGAGAATATTTTCAGGTTTTATATCACAGTGGACAATCTTTGCATCACACTCCTCATGGAGATATGCCAATCCTTTTGCTGTGCCCAATGCAATATTGAATCTTGTTTCCCAATCCAACACATGATCCTCGCCATACCCAATGTAATTGTTATTCCTGAATATCCATCTATCTAGAGACCCTTTCCCCATGTACTCATAAACAAGGAGCCGGTGAGACCCCTCAGAACAGAAGCCTTTGAGCTTGACCAGATGGATATGATGGATACTACCTATGATGCTAACTTCAGCTCTAAACTCTTTCTTCCCCTGCCCAATGTTTTCCAATTTCTTGACAGCCACTTGGATCCCATCTGGAAGCGCCCCTTGGTAGACCGAGCCAAACCCGCCTTGGCCAAGCTTCACAGAGAAGTTTTTAGTTGCATTACAAAGATCATTATAACTGAAACGTACAGGCATCCCAGAAACATTATCAAGGAAATTGTCCTCTTCCAAGGCCTCTTCAGACGAATCCTGAAATTTCTTATTCGTCTTGCAGAATCGCAATCCTAGAAAAATGAGACCAGCAATAGCTAGTACAGTAGCAACAGCTATAGTCACAGTCACTATAACTAGGACATGCTTGGTTTTCCCTCCCTTTTCTCTATCAATAGAGTTTTTGATAAACGCAACGAAGGCAGTAGCATTTTGTTCAGCACGTCGTAAACTTCCTATCTGGTCAAACAAAAAGCACCTGCCTGAACTGTTATTGTAGAACAGAGCAAGGCATGAGCAATTGCTAAGGCAGGCTTCTTTGCAATCATTCAGACTGAGACTCAAATGGGGTGTAGCAAACCCAATTGAAAAATAATCAAGTCTATCTCCAACATATAAAAGCTCTAATGAACTCCTTGAGCTATCACAGGCTAAGTTGATCAGTGGTTTGCAATTAGGAAGAGAGCCGAGAGTGGATGGGCATTGGCAGCGGTTGTCAAAGCTACACACCTTGTATGGGTCACAAGGCTCCGGTGTACTGCAGTAACTTTGTGGTATTTTCATTTGCTCGGCATTTGATGATCTTCCCTTTTGAAGATCAAAGAACGAGATTGTCCCATCTGTGCCTAAAACGGCAGCCCATGTGGAATTCTGCTCGTTTTGTTCGGTGAAGTTAAACTGCCAAACTAACGTTCTGCTTTGGTCATAAAAATTCCATGAATTGGCAACTAGAGATGCAGAGGATACTTTGCCATTTGTTTTGTATACGGTTTTCCGGGTATCATTTGTCATGGACCAATACAGTTGTGCAGTTCGATATCCTGCATACAAAACCAAATCACCTGACTTGAATTCAAGAAAATGAAACAAGTTAGTGTGGTAGGGAAAACTTTTAAGTCTCATCCCTTCAATAAATTCCTGGCCAGATAAAAGGGTGTCAGTAGGATGGCTAAAACTCTGCCAAAGAATTTCTCTGCCACGGCCAAGCACTACTAAATTCCCCGAGTCCCACAATTCCATAGCTGTAACTCCTTTTCCTGCTGTATCTGTAGACCAAACCACGCCTGTTGCATTTTGCAAGTAAACATTTCCATTTTCATCAAAGACAAACTTGTCACTTTTTCTAACCAACAACTGTCTATTGGCGGTCCAAACATCTCTATAACTGCTCAAATGCTTGACAACTAGTACAAACGATTCTTCCTCCAAACCAGGGAAGAAGCCCAAAGCGAATATCGAGTTGTTAGATAGCAAAAACCATCCTTCTTTGTCAATCCAGTTCATCTGAGACCCTCCAAACCCCGGAGGAATCTGCCCAATGTATTGAGTACCGGCTATGCAAAGTTCAAACGCAAGGAGGAGATAAAAACAGAATGAAGTAATGGAATGGAATCTACCCATAGTCTCCAAAGCAGCAGCCACTGACAGAATTCAGCTAAAATAGCCCAAAATTTGTGTCAGAATTAGAAATTTTCGTTAAGATAGCCAGAAAATATTAATACCCACAATTTTTTCCCCCTTAGTTCGGATATATTCGATTAATTGCAGAAGGAAAACAATGGAAGCACAGTTACAAGGAGAGGGACTTCTAGTTATTGTCCAACCAAAAAAAAGGAATTTTCAGTAAAAAAAATTGAATGAAGTGATTGATTTGGAAAAAACAAAACACACACACACCTTCTCGATAACAATTTCAAGAAAAGATTTCTATATTCAAAAAGTAAAGTAAGATGATCACTAAATTAAAGAAAATCAGCCAATAAACAGTACAGATTTGAACTAGTTCAGTGAAAAGCAATACATCAACTACATGAACTACATCCATATTCATGAATTGAGGAAAGCAGAAAAAGAAAACAGATACGAGCTCTTTCTCATGTATTTAAACCAAATAAAATGAAAAACAAAGTGACAGAAACAAGCTAATACGAGGGAAATTCTTAAAATAATTGATGGGTTCTTTTGTCTGTCATTGGAGATAGCATTACCAGATCATATGCAAAAAAGTTATCGTTTGGCTACTAATTTAGGGCAAAATTAACAAGACAGTGAAAACAGACTACAGAGAAGTAACTCACCTCATTTCGTCATTTTTTTTGCAGAAGAAACAAGTGAATTGCAGATATGGGTTCATAGCTATCTCCTCTGGATGTGTAGAGAGAGAGAGAAAAAGAGAGAGAGAGATTTTCGATGAATATGGCCGGGTTCACTCTTTTTGACGAGTGAAGCAACAGAGATGAAGACTTTGGAAGACTTGAATGAGTTGGCTTTGTCTTTTGGTTTGGAGAAAGGAAGGGGTAAGTTGCGACGTGCGTATTTATTTAAATGACACTGTTTCAATGTTTCAACTACGGATGAAAAGTCCATTTCATCCTCACGAAAGCTTCCATGAGATGATTCGGAGTGCAAATAATATCAACAAAACAATTTTTTCACTCGATCCATTTTAAACTTTGAGCTGCAAATATATATATATATATATTTTTTTTTTCTTTTCAAAATCAAATTGCTTTATTGTCATTCAAAAGCGCTCTTTGGTTTGACGAAGTTAAAATAAAAATGAGTGAATGAAAGGAAAATAGATGCATTTGATTAGTATAAATAAAATTTACAATAGTTATAAAAAACTATCATTTCATGATTTGGAACGTATGAAACATATTAGAAAAGAAAATTATTAAAAAAAAGAAAAAAAAGAATCATGTTCATTTTTGTAGAAATTTTTACGGAAAAGTGGTGGTCACAAATCAGATTGAAAAGATATAAGACAAATTATAAATTTAAAGAATTTTTTTTTTTTTAATTTGTTGTCAAGTTTTTAATCAATTATTGAAAAAATCTCATAATAGAGAAAATGTTGCTTATCAATTATTTAAAAAATTAAAAATATAGAAAAGGAATTGAAAAAATTCATAACAAATAAAATGTAACATAGTGATTTGTTTTATAAAAAAATCTGAACTTTGTATGGAATAGAAAGGTAGCAGAAATCTAATTAAAAATCTTAATTTTGCACTTATAATTTTTTATTCTTCTTCTTCTTCCGTTGAAAACTCTAGAGGCAAAACAATAGCAGCTCTATAAGCAAAACAGAGAAAATAAGATAAATAAAAAATTTAAAAATTTTAACTTACTTAAAAATATAAAATCTGAACAACAATTATAAAGAGGAAATGAGCAGATATAATAGATGTAAAGTACAGAATAAAAAATAAATAAAATACTTTCATTATATTTTTGAAAAAATAAAAATAAAAAATCACAATGCAAACTAAATTTACAAGATCAACCAACCATTGTTGTCACCAATCAAACATTAAAAAAAATAATAAAAAAATAAAATACTTTCATGGTGTTTCGGAGAAAGAAAAAAGAAAAAAAAAAAAAAAAAAACTAAGGAAGAAAAACATAATCCTAATGAACTTACCAGATGAAGCATGTACGATTGTCTTCTGAGAGAAAATTCTGAACACCAATAACAAAGAAAAAAGGATCCGATATTGTAAAGGTAAAATACAAAATAATAAATAAATAAAATACTTTAATGATACTTTTGAAATAATAAAAAACAAATCACAATGCAAACTAAATTTATAATTTCAACTTACCATTGTTATCACCAACCAAATATAAAACACACAATAAAAAAATAAAATACTTTCATGATACTTCTGAAATCCTATCTAACTTATCAGATCAAGTACGTTGCCGCTTTGTGAGAAAAATAATCTAAACACCAATTACAAAGAGAAATGGGCAAATATAAAGACGTAAAAGTAAAACATATAATAAAAAATCAATTTCTTCTTTCCAATTTTATTTTCTTATTCAATACTAATTCTATTAATAGAATTTTGAATTTAAGTATATTCTATCTCTAGACATTTTAATTAATTAATTTATTTATTTATACTGCATTTTAGTTTCTATGTCTAGACTTTTTAATTTTTTTATAAAACCAAATATTATTTATTTCAATACATACATAGAAACATAACTTTCCTTAACTCTTACCAAACATGCATTATTTTTTAATTCTATTTCTTCATACTAAAATTAAAATTAGTAGAAGAATTTTTACCAAACACGTGTTATCATTTCTACATATAAGTTGGTAATGATTAATTTTCAATTAAACAATTACCTATTTTATTTTAAGGGAGGGTATTCCACTTTTTTACGTTTGCACTACGTTCTTATACGAAATGACAATTACATCATTAACTTTATAAATAAATAATTATTACTTTTCAAATGACACAACTATCCTTTTAGATTTTCTTTCCTTATCTGTAATCTTTAATACATTAGATCTCTTTTGGTAAGATAATAATAATAAAAAAATAATAATATTTTGTTTCGAGAAGCAAAAAATTTTTTATGTTGAATAAATTCTCTTTTGACCAGACCCAAAAAAAATAATAACCTTAAAAAAAATTCTCTCTTTTTACATAAAAAAAAACCAATATATATATATATATATATATATATATATATATATATATATATATATTTATTTATTTATTTATTTATTGAAGAAATTATCTCTTTTGTCAGGATCAAAGTAAAAAAGTACGAAAAAGAGGATTAAAAAAATATATATCTCTGTTGAATAAATTATCTCTTTTGATAATACCCAAAAATATATATATATATTTCTATTGAATATATTTTTTTTTTGACAAAAAAAAAAAATAAAGTTACTTCTTTTAACAAGACAAAAAAAATAAAAAATAAATAACTTTGTTGAATAAATTATTTGTTTTGATTGCACCAAAAAAAATAATAATAATAATCTCTTTTGATTGCCAAAAATAAAAGGAAAAATTATATTTTGGTGACCAAAATTAAACATAATTGCTATATAGTGACCTTAAATTTAAGAAAAGGTGAATAGTGACCAATTTTAAAACTTAATTGATATTAAGTGACCATTTGATGGTTTATTACCTAAATAGCCTTCTTATAATATATTATTATATAAGTAGACAAATTTACTCTTTACATTAACCTAAATAAACACTTACTTAAATTGACTAACAAAAAGATAACAGATTATTAGGGTGAGTCTCTGAAGAGAAGATCAAGATGGGAGAGAACTGATGATGGATATTATACATCATTTTCTTCAAGATTCTAAGAGACATGACGAGAAAATTGTAAATTTTCTTCTTATTCATTATTTTCAAGGTATAGTTATTATATTTTACGAGTTGATTTGTCTGAGAGATCTTCCTTAAGATATAAGATTGTAATTTTTAGGAATTTTTAATACTACTTAGTTATAGTTCAAGAAATAATGACTATTGTTGATTAATTTCATAATTTTACTAACTGTTAAAGGGTGTTTCAAAAGTATGATTTGCCACTGTAAATGTTATGAGCGTTCATGTTGGAGAGCCTTGAAAAATAAATAAAGATTGGAAAAGAGATAATGTTGATAAAGAAATTTTAATTTTTTAAATTGGTAAATTGTAAACTAAAAAGGAAAATATTAGATGGTTGAGAGCCTTGAAAAATGAATAAAGGGTGAAAAAAATATAATGTTGGTAAAGAAATCTTAATTTTTTAAATTGGTAAATTATAAACTAAAAAGGAAAAAAAGAAAACGTTGGATTAGAGAGAGAGAGAGAGTAGGAGGATGATGAATTTAATGACTTATTATTTATATTGGATGGCAATTTTGTCATCTAAAATTTATTTTTAAAATGTTTATTAAACTTTTAAGTGTTTTTGACCAAATTATCCTTAAATAGTCACTTAATATCAATTAAGTTTCAAGATTGGTCACTATTCACCTTTTCTTGACTTTAAAGTCACTATATAGCAATTATGTTTAATTTTGGTCACCAAAATATAATTTTCCCAAAATAAAATTATCATTTTGAGAGGATCTCCCAAAAGAAAAGAGTTGGATGAAGGGTAGTTATGGCATTATCAAATAAAGGCATAATGCCTTAATGAATTCAATGACCTTCTCACTTTAAAAGAAAAAGATAAATGGAGTGCAAATAGAGAAAAGTGGAGTGCGAATATCGTCTTCCTATTTTAATTGGTAACTTATTTTAGTTCTTTTAGCCTTGAAGAATTTCAGGTGTGATAAGATTTATTTTAATTGGTAACTTATTTTATTATTTGGTATATTATTTTATTTAAAAGTTTTTTTTTTTGTTTATTAATATAATGGTTTAGTTTACAATAAGGTAAAGATTAATTTTCAAATAAATAATTACCTATTTTATTTTAATTGATAACGTATTTTATTATTTAGTAAATTATTTTATTAAACAATTACCTATTTTATCTATTTTATTTTAGTTGATAACTTGTTTTATTATTTATATATTTTTAATGATGATTTAAAATTCTTGACGTCGCTGTATTTTTAATAATAGTATAGAGCCCTAAAAATTACACTTAACTTACCTTCAAAAAATAATTTGTTGTTTAGTTTATTAAAGAAATAAATTTATTTCAAGTTAAATTCAATTCTTTGCTCTTGCTTGTGTTTCTCCATTCTAAAATAGTGATGGTATTGTTATGAAAATAAATAATGGAATTGATTCCGAAGCTTGGTTATTTCAAGTGCAGGTTGAGATTTTCTTTCGAGGAGTAGTTGATTTCAAATTATTATTTTTCTATATAAAAAAAAAATCCTAATATAATCCTCGGTCAAACGATCAAATGGATTCCTTAATATTTTTATGCATGATAATGTGAATATACTGCGAGAGTGCCCCACTCATCATTATAAAATCATTAGCAGTATTTGGCAGTGGATGAGGGTTATTTTGAGTAATAAAAGTTCTCTTTAGTGTGTGTTTGTGTTCTATATATTATTATTATTTTTTACATATAACACCCTATAATCTTACAAAAACAAGCAAAATAGCCATTGTCACGCACTGCCATGCATAACTAAGCGAGAGAATGATCTATTTTTATTCTATTTCCATTCCATTCTCTGATTCATTTCATTCTTATCTTATTTCATTCCTCCATACCAAACTAACCCTGAATGTATTTACTTTACCGTTCAAACATTAAATTGGTGTAGAAGAAATTTCAAAGAATCTTTTTACATTTTAACCTTTTATGAAGATGATGGTCATATTTGCTTTTATCCTTTTATAAACATGGAGGTCATATTTGTAAATCCAGTTATGCAATTTCAAAGAATCTTTTACGGCACATATATATATATATACATGAAGGGTGTGATTAGTGTGATAATCGGGTATTTTATGTACTTCACCCTTATAGGTGTGATTATCACACTAATCACACCCTTCATGAGCCAAAAATACCATTTTAGTATCAATTTGGGCAAATAAATCTCATCTTATACATTTAAGAAATACTTTATCCAAATTATCTTTATGGAGAGAATTTACATATTAATTAAATAAAAACAAGTCATTGTGTGAAGTGAAGAAAAATGATAACACCGTTAAGGTGGGGGTGATTGAACGCCCATTTGTTTTTTTTATGGTTATTATCATTATTTTTAATAATACTTTAACACTCATTTGTTGCTATGCAGTGACTTATGTGTGTGTGTGAAATTTTAAGGACTAGAGGACAATGATGTCGGATTTTTTTCTCCAATAAAAAATTAACACCTATTTATTGCTATGTAAAGAATTACACACACATATATATATTTGTGATAATTTATTGTAAATTTTAACGTTTAAAAAATTAAATGTGTATTATATATATAATAATAATGAATCGGTATCGTTAATTTAAATATTAAATTATATATTTAATGAAAAATGATAACTATATTAAATTTTAATTGGGAATACAATTTTTTATTTATTTATAATTATAGAAAGAACTAGGTTTTTATTCCATATGATACACTATATATTAATATGACAACTATATTGAGAACAAATATACTCCCTATTTTCTTTGAGATACTTTTTTTTTATCTCCATTTGACCAGTAAAAGAAATAAGAATTTTGTAACTTATAAGAAACTTTTAAGTTTTAGAAAATATAAAACAGTCAACTCAAAAAGAGATAATACATTGTTAGAGAAAATATATAAATAATTTTTTTTTCTTTCCAGAAGATGAAATAAAATCCTTAAAAGTGGATAACACATATCTACTATGAGATTATTAGTCTACACATTTCTTTTGATATTTTCGAAAGAGTAAAATAGTAAAATGAACATTACAACATATTTTATGTCAGATCTATGCAAAAAGTAATTTGAGAAGTATTTTTACTCAATTTTTAAAGAATATGGGATTAATAACATATTTTTTAAAATAGAGAACGAAAGTGCTACGTGGAGTATGCTTTAGGGTATTTCCTGTACTTTATCCAATAATTAAAACTAAAATGTGTTGGTTGTAGGCTCCTGGTACAAGACCATCACTCTTTCTATACACAATAACTCAAAAGAACATAGAAATTGAGAAAGAAGTGTGGTGAGGTACAAGCCTTCAATCACAATGGACTCGATAAGCCCTCTTATGGAGCTTGACCAGATTTGTATTTAGGTAGCTCAGCTGGTTAGAGAAAAGGACGTAAAAATTTTCTTTGGAAAATATTTTTATTTTTTAGGTAAAATATATATATTTTTTAACAACAAAAAAAATATATTTTTTATTCTTTAGTGTTTTGTAAATATTTAAGTCGAGATTGAGGTCAGCTACATTGAATAGATTTTGTAAAATTATTTGTCGAAAATTGATGGGTAATTATTTTTGTTAGTTTTAACACATTTTTTTCTTCATAAATATTTTACGACAACAAAATATCAATATATATATATATATATATATATATATATATAAATATTTTACATTGAAATAAACGTTTTTTTTTTAGACAAGAAGTGTTAAATTAGTAGATACAGAAAGTCAAGTATTGACACTTCAAAATTTAAAAGATAAACAAATCAAAGTCAAGTAAAATATGTTCATATAATTTTAAAATATGATGTCTGGGATTGGGATTGGGGCAATAGTTTAAAAATGAAATAATTGTTCATATAAATATGAAATAACAATCTTTTCCTTAAGTTATCTATTAAAAGATGGATGACCTATGGCTTTTCTAAAATTGTCCCTTTCAGTCTTCTTTTTATTTTTCTATTTCTCCTACCTAACAATGCATTAATTTCGTAAAATTCATTTGAAAACGACCAATGTTCATTATCTTCAACCTATGAAAATAATATATATATATATATATATTTCAAAAGTTGAATGTTTTAGTGCTATTCCATTCAAGAGGCGACTATTTTTATTTAAATATCCAAGAACACCCATGCGTATAAAGAGTATTCAAATCAACATTCAAAGGGTGAAAATGTAATTTGAATCAAACATCGCGATCAATTAATATTTTAAGTTTTCCAGTTCCTATTAATATTATAAACATATTTTTTCGGTCAATTATACCATTTCTGGCCACCTAACAGTTAACACCCACTATCATTTGTCTCATTAGTGCATAATCACTTTCCTAGCATATTCTTATTGACAGACACTTTTAAAATCCCAACATTATTTTAATTCAAGTTTGGTTGAGATGTGTGGAAATACCAACCACACCCCTAGTCAACCTAAGTTTATTATTATATTATAGGCATGTTAAAAGGTCGGACATTACCACAGCCGATAATATATATATATATATATATTTACACTCCGTAGTATAAAATAAAAACTGCACACTACATCTCACTTTATTGTTGCTATTTCATTCAAATTGTCTATTATAATTAATTTTTATTTAAATTAATTAAATAATTATTAATGACAAGGATAAATTATAGTAAACAGTCCCTTGAAGTTTGCCTTAATTACAAATACCTCATTCTTTTCTTAAAAAATTATACTGACCTCACATGTTAGAGACTTTATGTCCAAATGCACACATTGCTTAAAATAACAAAATCGGGAAACAATAAATAAGGAAAACATAGAGGGTGAATGAATTTATTCCCCAAAAAATATTTTCCTTATTTATTTTTTCCATTGTTGTAAACTATAATTATTGTGTGAAGCATTAATCACAAAGAAACATGTTATAATATTTGTAGGAGAACATTAAACACAAACATAATCATAGAAAATTTAACTTCATTATTTTCACATGTCTATAATGCATATCAGACTAATATTATAAATAGTTAAATATAACTCGTAGAGATAAAGCCCAACGTCCTCTTTGCGAAACGAACAACCTGCAATTCCGTACAATAATCAAAGCGTGAAATCCAATTTTTCGCATGGGATATGAACTTTTATAAAGATAAAGAGATGACCCGTTTCCATTGTAACCCTAATATTCACTTTTTATCAAAGTAATGAGTAAATAGTAAAACATTTTCCCTATAATTAATTACTAAAAATATAATTTATAAGTTGACTAAATAATATAATATTAGTTTAATATCTATTTACTTAACAACGTTCAAATTATGTGGGCCACAATTAAAATATAATCTTACAATTGCCACCTTATATCCCTACCCCCAACATCTCCGCATTCCACTGCCATTGCCTACTTCCACCACCACTACCATTGCAATCGCCTTTCTACCACCATCACCATCCACCAATGTCACCTTCGCTTTCAATAGTTGTCAAGAACCAGGGATATTATTGTCAAAAAAAATTAATTTAAAAGTTAAAGTAAATGTAAGAAATATGCTAGCCAAATGTCTTTTTCTCATATTTTTTTTTTGATAAATATATAAAAAAAAGTAAATGTCTTGTTAACGTAACTGCTCATCAATCAATAAAGTTCCGCCTAGAAAGAGAGTTTTCCACCGTAATCCAAAAAAAGTAAAATAAAGTCGGAATCCAATTATAGCAACAAGATTACCCAAATATCCTTCCCGGCCACATTAATATCACCATGATCTCAAACCCCACATGCATTCAAGATGACAAGAACTAGCAAATAAAACCAAACCACAAATATCTATATAATAATAAAGAAAATGTACAAATATGAAAGATAAAAAAGGACAAAAGGAAAAAGAAAAAGAAAAAGAAAAAGAAAAAGAAGCAATTGAAACAAAGAACAAATGAATGAATAGAAAAGATAGAGACACCATAAATATGAGGGAGCAATGGAGAAATAAAAATGAGAGATAACTTAGGAGTAACAACGAGTTACTGATGTTTCAATCATCACAAATTACAATTGGCCACTATCAAGTGCAATCAACGTATAAAAATATGGGTATAATAAAATTTTAAAATACAAATATTTTTTTTTATATGTTTTATGCGGAAAGGTTTTGAAGAAAATAAACCACTTGCAAAAATTATAATTTTCTAAAAAAATTATTTTTATCCTATCCAAAACTCATAAAAGTTTTAAACTTTTTTATTTTTAATTTTTCCTTTGTTGCTACTTCATGCACCCTAAGAAGCCCAATCATTCCTCATTAGGACAACATTTCTTTCTGGGGTTAAATTTGACAGTGATGTGCATTGAGCTGACGGTCAGGCATGGGCCTGGACTTATCGGTCTGCACTGGCCCGGACAGGCCCGGCCCGATATGTTGGCAGGAACATGTGAGGTGCCCCCACGTCTTATCCACATTTTCTCATCACATAGCCAATTCCACTCTCGTAATTAAGCGCGTGTATCGACGGAACTGGAAACGACCGTTAAACTTATGCGTTTACTTCAGACGCCACCCTTGCGCGTGGAATTTTCAAGCTAGTCCACAATAAAGCAAACAAGACACGTGTTAAACAGGTGGTGATCTCATAATCATAAAGCCACACAAAGTTTTTGTAATGGAGACAAACACAGCATTAACGGGCAAATCATACCCGTCAACCGAAATAAAACAAATCGTAAGGCGCAAGTTCATAAGATCTTTGACACCTCCCCAGGTGGGCTTATCATAGCTCCTCCGGTAAGTGGGCATGTGGTGTTTTGTGGCGGTTGCTTCGTTCTAGAGAGAGAAAGTAAGGATTGCGTTGAGAGATCAGAGAGAGAGAGAGAGAGAGAGAGAGAGGGAGAAAAGAGCAAATCTGCGACTCCGCAACGAGGTTTGTGGCTCTGTTCTTACAACTCAACGAAAGAAGCTTGGGATTGGTACAATTTTAGAGAGAGGGGTATGCTTAGAGAGGGAGAGAGGGGTTTTGCTTAATTTGCTTGAAGCTCTGTTTGACGTCTTTTCTTTTTCTGAAAAAAAAGATGAGAGCCCCCAGGCAGCAGGCAAGCTTCTCAATACTCATGATTGTTTCAATTTGCAGGTGAAAAATGGCGAGTGGTGTGGATAAGGAGATCCAAACTGGACCCAAAGACGATACCATGTCCTTGGAACTCCCAGCTCCTCCTGCTTGGAAGAAATTGGTTTCTCTCTCCTCTCTCTCTCTCTCTCTCTACTTTGATTCTATTATTCCTTGCAATTTTTTTTTCCTCATATTATCCATCAATTTTTTCCTGTTAAATTTTGTTTTTCCTTAGCACAATTTCGGATCTGATTTTTTTGATCTCTTATCTGTGTTCCTCTCGTAGAATTTGGGCTAAATTTTCACTGTTTCACTGTTTCAAAGCGAAGGTTTGTTGAATTTTTTTTGTGTTGTGGCAGTGCTTTAGTAGTAAGTTATTATTATTATTATTTAATTTTTTTTACAGTGGTGTGAAACTGTTGCTTGATTAAAGAGTTCTACAATGTGGGTATTGGATGAATAATTTAACTCTCTAGAGTTTAAAATACCAATCTTGTTTATTTCAACGACAAATTCTTTTTTTTTTTTTTTTTTTTTGCCTGGGTTCTTTTTGGTGGTGGTGGGGCCACAAGGGTTTCAAGTGCACTTATTAAAAAGGAAAAAAACAAAGGTTTCAAGTGCACTTATTAAAAAGGAAAAAAACAAAGGTTTCAAGTGTACTTATTAAAAAGGAAAAAAACAAAAGTTTCAAGTGTGAAGGTTCCTAAAATTGAGAGGACTTCAACAACAAATTCTTAGTGTCATGTAGTCTTGGACTGTCTTCATATTGAGAGGATTATGGCCTTTTTGAGTCATTTCTCTGTAATGGAAACTTTGTAGTTTATAACAACAAACTGTGAAAGAACTGTCCGAGATGTGGCCGAGCTGAGAACTTTGTTTGGGATATAGTGCAAGTCTTGCATAGGCCGTCTCCTTCTGCAGCTTGGTAGTCAGCAAGTGAGAATGAGCCGAGAACTTGATATAGGATACTACAGGAGTCTTACTTAGGCTGGCAATATTGCATATGGGCATTTCAACTCAGCTAAACAAAGCCAATTTTTCCCCCAAGTAAACTTTCATTAAACCACCAAAACAAGAATACAAGGAAACAAAGCCATTTTTCAACTAAGTGCATCTGGGAACTTGCCAAAAGAGAAAAATAAAGGCATGGAGGCCAGTTTTGCTTTCTTTTGTGCCAAGTTATTTGTTTCATAATATGTATATTGTTGGCACAATTCTATTCGTTTTTTGAAGTCCATCAACTCGATGCTTTCCAGTCTGTCTATTACTTTGTGCTCTTGGACTTTATTGATTTTGAATTTTAGGATGAAGACTCCAGTATTTAATTGACTTCTCTCTCGACCGTATATCGATTCTTGGATCCTGACCCTAGGAACATCATAATCAGGTTATTCGTCATTTCCATATTGTCAACATGAGTATACGATAATGAGTCAAGGATTTGTTCCCACCTTAACTGTCGATAGTTGAAAGGAAACATAAGCATAGGAGTTATCTTATGTGAAATTCTGCTGGAGGAATTGGTTGTCAATGTAAACATTTTTATTGCTTAATCTAAGTGTTCTAATAGACAGAAAACACCTACACACATTGGATGTAATTGTGGCTCAGGCTGGTGAAGACAATTTGATGGGTGCTTTCGTACAATTTGTTAAGTCTCTCAAGGATTAGGAATGTGTGCAACATGAATCCTGACCCTATGGAAGTCATAATTTGGTGATTCATCATTTCCGTATTCACAACACGAATATATGCTGACAAAAGTATTCAGGGAAAAAAATATGCTGACAAAAGCTTTAGGTTCAAGTGGTATCATTGGGGCAATAGTGGGTGTATGTGTGCTTACCGACCTCCACTCCACCACACAGTCAAAAAAAAAAAAAAAATTGAATGTACGTTGATGAGCTTATCATGCTCAACTTAAGAAAACAGAAGTGCAAGTTTTTCACCTGTGAAATTCTGCTGAAGTAAGAGTTCATTATTATGGTAAAGATATTTATTACCTGATCAAAATGTTGCAATAGAGCAAAAGCACCTTTAGAAATTGGACGTAATTGTGGCACAGTTCGGTGAGTATGGTTTGATGGGTGTTTTGTGAACTGTGTTATGCCTGTTGTAGATTTTTAAAGGAGCATGCACATTAAGGTCATTAGAAAATGTTTGAAAGTGTCCTCCTTGACAAAACAATTGAAAGAAAACAGCAGTACAAGATTTATCATCTGTAAAATTCTGTTGGAGTTTGTTAAATAATTTTATTGCCTGAACAAATTGTTGCAATAGATTGTAAACACCTGTAGGCATTGGATTTAATCGTGGCAGAATTTGATGAGTACAGTTTGATGGTTGCTTTTGTGCAATGTGTCAAGTCTCTTGACGATTAGGAAATGAAGAAACTTGGAAGGTGTGCATTCAGATTATTAGAGACTTATTGGAAGTGTTCTCCATGACAGAAATTTGACTCTGAGTTGAATTGGATGAGAAAAGTCGAGCAATGCTTGCCAAACAATTTGGAATTTAGGAGTTATGTGTCTACTGCTTTCCTGATTACATGCAAATAAAACAATGTCTTATTATACAAATACAATTTGTTGAAGTACTAGGTACTGAAAATGTCAAAAGATAAGTAGTAAATCAATGTTTATTTTTGATTATAACCAAGGTATTATGATATGTGGAAGAAATTTTTTTTATGACATTTGGGGGGGATATTTTGGTCCAAAATGGGAGTAAATTTGGAAAAGAGAGTGATGATAATGTTTGGCATTTTTTGAATTGTTTGGGACAGAAGGGTAAAGCAATCAATTTAAGAAAACCCAAAATTGGATTTATCAAGACCAAGCTCGTTGGGGATGGTGGGTTTGGTTGAAAAATGCCTAAAATGATTTGAAATGGATCAATATTTCTTTTTCATGTTCCTTAAGCATTTTTGTTAAAAACATATAAATGCTAGTGTATTTGTGCTGAACCTTGGTCAGTAATTCCTGTGCAAATATTTATTGGAGGTCATTGGTTCCATGTTTGATGCTCGCCAAAACCAAATTCATCAATTGGTGCACTTCAGCTGGTCAACTTTAGTAAGCATGGATTCTGAGTATTAGTATAGGTGGTTGGGTCCCATGTACTATGACCTTCTTGCTAAAAGTGAACACTTAAATAGAGGCATTTGGGGTTGATTTATAAAATATTTTGGGGTGGTTTCTGGATTAACTTGTGATCAAAATGGAAGTTTTCAGAAATCCTTGTGTCAAGCTAAAATTTGTCAAAATGTGGTGGACTTTTGTGAATTTTGATTCTCTCTCTCTCTCTCTCTCTATATATATATATATATATATATATATATATGTATATGTATAAAATATAAACAGGTGGTGCAAAATGGGGAGTCTATACATAGGAGGATTTTGATCCCATTTTCAGTTGACACATATTATGAAACACTATTAGGAGGGCAGCAATGGCCTCAAAGTTCTCTTGTTTTCCTCTATCTTTGTCATTATATCTCTCTGAAGGCTGCCTAGTTTAAACTTCTCTCTAATTTTTTGGGATCTCCAACTTACGTCTAACATGACTAGCATGACAATACCGAGACACCCACAATTTGTCAGCTCTATTGGGAAGGTATTTTTGTGCAATAGTGGATGCCTAAGACAAACATTGTCAGTGACCTTACAATCGCATTGCCACTAGTGCTAGTCACATTGTTAGCACTTCATCACAAGGTCAACTCAACGATTGTCAAGGTCATTCTGTTTTCTCCGTGAGAGTCAATTATTGCCTTACACCTGCAACGGTATAAAGTTTAAGGTTACATATTGGCGGAAGTGATCTGAGTATCAAAACAATCACTATGTGCAAAATAATGCCAAAGGCTATTTCTATTTCCAATCTTTCCCTCCTAAAATTCCATGTAGCGTGAAGTACATTGAATAATGCACCAACACATTTTGGAAAGATGAAACAAGACGAACAACTCATTCTGACGAAGAATAAAACTGTTTCACTGCAGTATGTACCTCATGATACTAGGTGTTTTCACCTCCCACACATAAGGATTAAAGGCACGCCTAGGCTCCAAAAAAGGCCCAGGCTCGTCAAGACTTTGCTGGTGCTACAAGCCAGGCTCCTTCGGTCAAGTTCACATAAAGTCCTCAGGCTCATGCTTTTTAGCAGGCTCCAGGCTCAGCAAAAGTGCGCCTCTTTTTTTTTAATCATTCGTTCATATGCTTCTATTATTTTTTTTAAACAACGAATTTAGAAACTCTGCATTATGTCATGGTCTTATTCTACGAACCATATTATTTGATCTATATTTAACAGAATTCATGTGTGTATGTTGACTATTTAAATTAAAATAATATATGTTTAAAATCTACATGGTTATTGATTTTTTCTATTGCACAAAATTAAGAGTATTTGATGTAGTTAATGTATATACATATGAAAAGGATTTATGCACATTTTCATTTTCATTTTCATTTTTAATCAATATACATATGATCCTATACGTTTATATGCCAAAATTTTCATTTTAAAAGACCTTTGATTAGTTGTGTTGCATATCTTGAACTGTTCCAAGTGTGTATTGATTTTATTGAACTCATATGCAAACTAGAAAGATGTATGTATACTGATTTAGCTAATCCATTGAATTGACATGTGAAAAAATTCCTTTATTTTGATCTTGACTAGTTTGTAATAAATATTTTATTTTATTTTTTCACTTAATACTCATTTTTATCACACAAGCGTCACACTTGAACTAGGTTCACTCTTGCACTTAGGCTCCAGGAGACCTTGGTGCCCTAGTGCACCTTGAGCCTTTAATAACTGTGCTTCCTGTTGAGCAACATGGTGCCTATATGGCCCTAATGGTGAATATATCCCTGGCTGCATCTACAATGAATCCCAACACTACCCCCACCGTGGATGGTTGATTCAAGACAAGAAGGAGAAGGAGAGAGGTAAAGAGAAGAAGAGTGGGGAAGAAGAAGAAATTAGGGAGGAGAAACTTTGAAATGCATTGTTGGATAATCAAATCAAAAGTGAAAAATCTATATTACATCAGAGAGCGCTTATACAGGCAACCAAAATGAACCCTAATTACAAATTACAATAAGATTAGAAAACTCTAGATACCAACTTAAGTTAATTAGTTAACAATCACTAAAAATGGCAAAAATGAATAGTGAAAATAAGAATAAAAATTAACCATAATTCTATCAATCCTTAATTCCATTTATCTTTGCCCCTTCTAGCATAGGTGTGAATCATCTGTGGCTTGTTAATGCGGGTCATATATTAATTTCCATTTTGGTCCTATGGTTAATGAGACCAGAGTAATTACCACCATGTCTACACCATCACCAATCAATCTTCCTACTACAACGACATCAATCAGCTTTACTTTCCTTGTAACAACCCCTGGTCAAGAGATGCTACTCGCAACATGTAACTCCTGCCTCATCAAGGTTCCCATCTAACAAGAATGGTCTAAACAAACCCGTTTCTACCCTAGCCATACTAGGCCATGACATTTGGCCTCGTTATCCCATTAAAGCTACCATCAAGACCTATTCACTCCCCTTTAGATCTAAATCACGGACTTTGTGCTTACTCTATAATAGAGCTTAGAGTTTCGGTCCCTACCCCATTTGAATCCTTTGGTGGATCAACATCTCACACATGAATGGCTGTATTGGGAAGATTCTACCATCTAAACAAAAGGCTCACCAAGACGCTCATTGAAACAAAAAGTGCTTGAATGAGGATGTCTCACTAAAGACACTTGTTCTCTCCTCACCAATTGGGATTGGCTCACTACGAGCCATGCGCTCTCTCCACATTGTGTCGTCATCAATCCTCCCATAACTTTTAGAGGCGAGGCTGTCCAAAATAATCTTAGGGCACACTCAAGGGTCACCTCATCGTGACCCCATCCGAAATATTCTAAACAGGGGCATTTGAAGGTTGAGATGGAACTTGAGAGGTTGAGCCTTGCAAAGAGGAATCCAAGTTGCCAAACAGACCAAGTGATGGATAATTAAATTTGATTTACCTTCTACAACATATTTGGTGCACCTCTCCTTGTAGCCTCAATTTGGGAACTTATTTTATCAGCTCCTGGACCAAAGATCTTTCTATGTTGCTTGTCCTCGGATGTAACGACCCACTCCACCACATGGTATGATATTGTTCGCTTTGGGCCCCAACCCGCACGGTTTTGTTATTGGGTTTACCCCAAAAGGCTTCATACCAATTGGAGTGACACACATACATACATAGCTCTTTTCCTTTCCACACCCAGGCAATATGGGATTGTGCACCTACAGCTCACCCAATGTGGTAGCTTGTCAGTGCCTCTTGCACACGCCCACAAGGTTGCCATAATCAACCCTCCTTGGGGTTCAATGTCCCCGTTGGCCACACTTCTGGCCGGGTGACTTTGATACCATTTGTAACGACTCGCTTCACCACATGGTATGATATTGTCTGCTTTGGGGTTGAGCCCATATGATTTTCTTCTTGGATTTTACCCCAAAAGGTCTCGTACCAGTTGGAGTGACACACCTACATATATAACACTTCCCCTTTCCACACCCAAACGATGTGTAATTGTGTACTTATAGTTCGCTCAGTGTGGTAACCTGCCAATGTGTCTTGCACCCGCCCACAAGGTTGTCACATCGGGGCTGTCTAGGCCCTTGGATGCAGCTATTGCAAAGCCTTCATACACATTCTATTGCCCATGCCTTTTTCTATTTGAAAATATGACATGGCCATTGCATTGACGGGTCTTGGCTTTGGGTGCAGAGACAAAAATCCTCTAGTATATATTGTAACCTTCACCTAGACTGCATAACATTGAGGGGAGGAAAGTTGAAGAAATTTTTTGAGGTTGCTTGGTCAGTACAATGGCCTAGGTTCAAGACCACATTTTCCTGGATGACGAAGATAAGAACTTGCTGACTCCCAAGGTAAACAAGTCAAACTCTTGGGTTAGAAATTGATGGAAGCTCATTTTGTAAGGTTCAATACCCTGGTGAGAAGTACAGTAAAGATACACCTTGATGAAAGCTGAGCTAATGACCAACACCGTGGGGTTTGAAAGCCACTATTAATTCATTGCTGGCAAGTGTATTAGAAGAGCAGTGGCAGTTGTGGGGAATAAAACAAGGGAAATGATGATCTGAAATCCAAACAGCTAATGAACCCATTCACCTTGCCAAAGCTGTCTTTATAATGGTTCTTTGATACTGCTTGGATATGGGCATGGCAAGTGCCCTCATTGGGCACATTGTGAATACAGTGAAGTAGTATGTCTTATACAAGAAGAAAGTTATAATTATACTTCTCGTGTCTCTGTGTTCATGTCCATATCCTGTTGAATCTTGTCTCTCGTGTCGTGGCATTAAATTTAATAGTTTGAAGGGGTAAATTGAACCTTTCACTGGTGTTGGTAGGTGATTGTGTAAAAGATTAGTGCTGTGTATGTTGGAGAATGTCAGGGGCAGCTGCATAATGCAAAAAAATGCCGAAGGTTAAATTAGTACGAGTTAGCACCCCCCAAATTGATGGGACCAATACTTAGTGATACTCGAAGAAGTTTGCAGCATCTATAAGATATTATAATGACATGTCATAAAATCATACTCAAGGATATTTTCATGTAATTAGAGCTGTCTTATATGTGCTTGACGAGAATTACAAGTTTGTCTGCCTGTTAGCTTACCAATTGCCCCCAAAGTGAAGTTGTTGAATAATGGTCTCAATACTGATATCAATCTCTAACGCCCTCCCTTGCATAGTTGTGTGTGATCCTCAAGCTCAGACACTAGACCTTTCCTGTGATCCTGACTTCCAAAATTTGTACATCAAGTGGGGAAACAAGTACAAATTCAACACATTCCAGGACATACAATGCCCACTAATTACTCCAAAAGCTTAAGCTTTTGAGGATTAGGTGCAACAATACAATGTAATATCAGACAGTGGTGTACACTACTTATGGAGTTAGTGTCAAGTGGGCATGATTTGAGGTGTTGAAAAAGAGCATTAGGAGGTGTAATGTTGAGGTGGACACATGAAGGTTGATCAGTGGCAAGACCATGAACTGATGGATATAGCTCTACTAAGTTTTAAAGAAGTGATGACATAAGAAGAATATATATATATATATATATTTTTTTTCACATGAAGAAATTTATGACAGTTAAGTTGTTAAATTTAGCCAACATGAATCTGTCTTGGCAGCAATTAGTTAACTGGTAACACCTGGATGATGACAATGCTGATGCGTCGTCAAATGAGTGCCTTGTGATTCTATCCTGAAACTTATTTAAATACCAATAACAATTGTTGATAATTCATTTTTAGAATTCATTAAAAAAAAAAAAAATAATAATATGCAAAATTGAACATTTTCATTTTTCAACTAATGATCAAATATGACTATTTCCTTAGAATGTGTGAAGGTTAATGGACCTGTGCAAATTAAAATGATTTGCTTTTATAATTATGGTCGTGTAACTAATGTTCTGTGTTTGTTTGTAGTTTTTAAACATTCTTCTTGTGTCACACATTTCTCCTTGTTTCTCTACAGTTCATGCAGAAGAAAGGTACACCAAGGAAGAATGAGGTCATATTTATTGCTCCAACAGGGGAGGAAATTAATAACAGAAGACAGTTGGAGCAATACCTAAAATCGCACCCTGGTAATCCTGCAATATCAGAGTTTGATTGGGGCACTGGTGAGACTCCAAGGAGATCAGCAAGGATAAGTGAAAAGGCCAAGGCAACACCTCCATCAGCTGGAAGTGAGCCACCTAAGAAACGAGGACGAAAATCGTCGGGTTCTAAGAAGGATAGCAAAGCGATGGAATCAGCAATTGAAGAAATTGAAGGAAAGAAAGAAGTTGAAATGAAAGATGTGGAGGTCACAGAGAAGGAAAATGCAGAGGAAGCACAGAAAGAAAATGAGGCTGAGATCAAAGGTGAAACACGGGAAGAAGCTGAAAAAACTAATAACCTAGATGCCAAAATGGATGAAACTAGTCGAGAGGAAGATGTTGTAAAAGATGCAAAGCTCCAAAATGATGACCTGGAAACCAAAAACGTTGAAGTAGCAGTATCAACGGACAAATCCACAAATGAAGCTGGTGGTGGTACAGAAGTGATTCTAAATAAAGCAGAGAATCTAGAAGCCTCCAGGGAAAATGCGGTTGAGAACGGCGGTGAAGAAACAAAGGAAGAAGCTGATAAAACCAATGACCTAGCTGCCAAAATGGAAGAAACTGGTCCAGAGGAAGACGTCCAGAAAGATGCCAAAATGGAAGAAACTGGTCCAGAGGAAGAAGTCCAGAAAGATGCTGAGATCCAAAGTGACAACCTGGGAAACAAGAACGTAGAAGTTGTGGCTGCAGATAAACCAACAATTGAAGCTGATGGTACTGAAGTAACTCTGAATAAGGCAGAGAGTGAATCCGCCAAACAGGTGTTGGGAGAGGTAGATCAACCACAGGATGATACTGCAGAAGTTCACGGTGCAAATGATGAGAAACAGGGCAAGCTGGAAAATGTCACGTTGGAAACCAACCACGGAGCAGATCAAGCGAAAGCCAATGGAGTGACCCGTCCATCGGAGGAGACTACTAAAGAGAAACAAGAGATGCAGAATAATGACGACACATGTAGTTTTCAGCTCGAGGGCAAAGATGAAAAAATGGAGGGAGAGATGATGGGGAATAATGGCAAGGTTAACCAAGTGGCTCGAGCTGATGCCCCGCAACATCCAAAACCCTCTCCAGTAAGCTGCTAAATATATGCAACACCCTTGTTGGGTTTCCCTGGATTACTGTAATTTAATGTTTATTGATGCTAGATTTAGTTGTCAGTAGTTGGCAAACAAAGCTGTATCCCTTTCAGTGACTCTTTCTATGATGCTGTAGCCCTTGTGACATTATGAACTAACTTAAATTATAATCTGTAGACATCTTATTTGACTTCTTCAGGCACTGATTCCCTTTCTTATGCCTGAGATGATACCCTTGTTTTCTCCCAGTAGATTGTATGATTTCACATTCTTAACTGTTCCACACATGTTTGTAAGGTTGTCTCAGACGGATTGGTAACATAGACGTTAAGTTTTTAGCCAGTTCTTGCTAGGAAACTGGTATGTGATGCTGGTAATTAACCACAAGGAGTTGGTAAGATAAATACTGTGATTAGGCGGGTAAGAGGAAAAGTTGCTGTTGAAATGGTTTAAAATCCTCAGACCAGAAAACTATTTTGCATATTGAGGTGGAAGATATTGGTCTGGTAGGTTGAACCTTCTCTGTTTTTTCCCTTCTCTTTTTCGTAATTGAAAATGATAGGTTAAAACTTATTGATATTACTACAAAAAGTATTTTATTGGAAGATTAGGGGATGGTAGTTGGAAGTTAGAGGGGAGGAGAGTGGAGGGTGTAAGGTTACAGGTTTTCAGATACAGAAACAACATAATTATTCGAACGACACAGTACTTGTCACTGGTAGAATGACGAAGACGGAGAATTTGAAAATATTTTACCCTCTTTTTTTTTTTTTTTTTTTTTTTTTGGGTCATATTGTTATATTTTGGTTCTGTACTCGTCCTTATTGAGTAAACAAAATGAAAAGTTTTTGTGATAGTTAATTGGTGCAATTGTGCAGTTGTGTTAGGCATATATAATCATATTAAAAATAAATACCACGTAAATAAATTATTACCTGAACAGATTAGGACATGCCTACAGCAAGGTCATTTCTTTTATTCTTCCCCTTATTATTCACGTGCAAAAATTAGTGGATAAACTGATTTGCTTTTATCATACATGTAAATATATATATATATATATACATGTAAATATATATATATATATATATATATATATATATATATTATATTAATCACACCAGCATAGATCTCCTTACCCAGTTCAAAGGCTAATGCTGCTCATTCTGGTCACCTCTTTGAATTGCCGCTTCCACTCACCCTCTCCAAATTCTAAACTTCAACGTATCAACCTACGAAAGGTATATAACAATAGATAAGTGCATATAAATAAAGCCCTTTTTAGAGAGAGAGAGAGAGAGTCTTCATACCAATCATGAAACCCAGAAAGGTGTACTTTGGGAGAGAGAGAGAGAGAGAGAGAGAGAGTGAAAAAGGTGGAATCTATTCGAAGCCCTCAAAACCAGAACTGTGGGACTGAAGTATTGGAATCTTTGTTTCTTGGGTCCATGGCATGCCTTGAGAAGAAGCATTGCATTCCAGAAACCACGGTTACCTTCTTTGGATTGCTACAAATCTACATATTGTACGCTCATTTCTTAAAAGGGAATGGTCCTTTGCATTTGATTCTCCATTCAGATCAATGGGGTTCTCTTATTTCTTCCTCGGGTTTCTTCTCCTTTTCATGCTCATCTTTCCCAATTGTATGTACCTTTCTGTCTTTTCAATGTTCAATTTAATTTATTTTGATTTAATTATGCAATGGGTTTGTTGAGGAATTTCATGTTGAATTTGAATAAATAAGGTTGTAGTTAATTGTTAGTAGCTGAGTGGTCTTGCTGATATGAATTATGAAGATAAAATCTAGTTCAAGTTTTCTTATAGATGCTCGAATTTAGTTGATATAAAAAATGGCTTGAGTTTTAATAGGAGTTGCTTTAATTCTTCATGTTAAGTTGTATAAACTTAGGGTATTCTTGGAACTTGTTGAATATATATGAGAAATCGTAGAGACTGCAATTAGTGTTTCCTTTTAAGTTGGGCAGTTCACTAGTGCTATGATTTTTAACTGACCATTGTGTAAATATTGTCTATTTTGCACTCACCCTACTCACGGTCTTCCACACATTTAAGTGTCAGCAACCTCTCTCCCAGGCATTGTATAACAATACTTATATTTGAATGTATTCAATTCTCAAATGAAAAACAACTTAGCTTTCACTTGAACTGAAGTTGGCTGTTTAAATGGGCATGATTGAATCTCTTATATTTATTAGTGCATTGAGCCAATTAAAAAGAGTTTGTAATTAAAATCTTTATGTCCTACAATTTTTTTATTGAGTTTGTGTACCGGTCCTTTATTGAGTTTTACAAAATTTGAGTGATCATATACAAGAGAGGTCTTATTTCTCATCAAATTAGTAGTTTTCCCTAGAAAATGGGGAAGGCAAAGTGTAGTCATGTTTCAAAACATAATTTGTTTTTGTTGTCATATATTTGTGAATCTGTATCTGATGGACTATTCTCCCCCCTCCTTGGCAGTTTTAACGGTGCTTGCATTCACGGGAACATATGGAGTGAATTATGGCAGGATTGCCGACAATATCCCTCAACCTGAAAGTGTAGTGACACTTCTGAAGGCAGCAAAGATTAAGAATATCAGAATTTATGATGCTAGTCATGAAGTCCTCACTGCCTTCAAAGGGTCCGGCATTGAAATAGTGGTCGGAGTGGGGAATGAGTATTTGGAAGAGATGAGCGTGAATGAGGTTCGTGCCATGGATTGGGTGAAAGAAAATGTGCAGCCATTCCTCCCCAAAACTAGCATTAGAGGGATTGCTGTGGGGAATGAGATCCTGGGGAGTACTGATCCGGAACTCTGGGAGGTTTTGGTGGGTGCTGTCAAAAATGTGTACAATGCCCTTGACCGACTCGACCTAAGTAAAGTAGTGGAGGTCTCGTCCCCACATTCAGAGGCTGTATTCGCTAATTCCTTCCCTCCTTCTGCATGTGTATTTAAGGAGAGTATTCTTCCATACATGAAACCTCTTCTGCAGTTCTTTTCACAAATTGGTTCACCTTTCTATATTAATGCTTACCCATTTCTCGCCTATATGAGTGATCCCGAACACATTGACATTAACTATGCTCTTTTCCAGTCAAATCCTGGGATTTATGATGCGAAAACTAAATTGCATTACTACAACATGTTTGAGGCTCAAGTTGATGCGGCTTATGCTGCTTTGGAGAAAGTTGGTTTTGAGAAGATGGATGTCATTGTTTCGGAAACTGGTTGGGCTTCTCGTGGGGATGAAAGTGAAGCAGGGGCCACTGTAAAAAATGCAAGGACTTACAATTATAATTTGAAGAAACTGTTGGCAAAAAAGAAGGGGACCCCTTACAGGCCTAAAAAAGTGATTAAGGCATATGTTTTTGCCTTGTTTAATGAGAACTTGAAGCCTGGGCCGACCTCTGAAAGAAATTTTGGACTTTTTAAAGCTGATGGGAGCATTGCATATGATATTGGATTTACTGGACTTGTACCTTCCTCTGCAGTGTCATCTCGTCTCTCCTCAAAGGTATGCGTTCCTGAATACGTCTTGATTTTTTTTCTCGGTTTTATAAGTAGCTACAAGAATATGGTTTTGCCATTTTATTGAAACATATCATGTTCTTGACCCTTGAACTTGTGTCTCTTGGGATTTCTTAGCAACTCAACTCTTGTGATTGAATAAATGCTACTGGGCATAAATTTCAGGCTGATTCTGGAAAGAGTTCTGTTGTTTCATGTTTAATTGTTCCCACACATATGAATTATTCATAATCTCATTAATGATCACTGTAACTCACACATTTCAAAAGTTAGCTATATGAATTAATATATGGTTCTGCAACAAAATTTTCTTCTTTCATGAACAGTCATACCTCTAGTTCATCTTCTCACTGATCGAATTTTTTTCACCATTGGCGATATGATGATATCATCTCCATCAACCCACCCGACTCACCAGATATCATCACACCAAATGCCATCAGCATCATCAATGATAACTCCATAACCCCACTTTTGCCTCATCTTTACCATTTAAGGGATTTTTTCTCCTCTTCTTTTGCTCTCTCTTGTGAAACCAGAATGATAAAGAATCGCTTTTAATCTTCTATAATGCTTCTTATCTTCTCTGTTTTCTCTCATTTTCTTGGTGATCAAGTGGAGCTAAGTGCTCTCAAAAGGTATGCCATGTCTGCAAAAGCAAAATGACGAATTTATTTTCTCCCATTGGTTTCTTGATTATGACATTCAGCAAATTTAACCAATATGAATGTAAGTTAGGTGGTTCACTGAAATCGCAACATTTGACGAATTTATCTAAACAATGACTTCCAATTTACTAAATTCGCAAGGCATGCATTTGACTATTTCGGCATATTATTTTGTACTTCTTTGTAGTGATTGCATGTAGTAGCATCACGACATTGTAGCATGCTGTTTAGTAGTAACATCAAACAAAATTATCATTCTAAGGATTGAGGATTACAGCGATAAACGAAAGAGCTTAGAAGTGTTTACATTTCTTATGCAAGCCAGATCCTTGTTCTTACTTGTGTTTTGCCTCGTGATATTTATCTTTCTGTTTCCTTGTATTTTAATTCTACAGGATATTGGTCTACAAGGGTGGTTTGGGTCATTTTACTCGTTGCTTTACACGACTTGTGCTGCAGTTCTGCTTTTGATTTTGATGTCTTGACTGGCCATAGCTTCAAGCTCTCATTGTCCCCATTCTATTGATGCAGAATCAGTTCATAGGAGCACTCGGAAGTTCTTAAATGTGCACAAATCATTGTAAAGGAACATGGTATTGATTCATTATTATTATTGTATTTACCAACGCATTCCTGAAATACTTGATGACTGATATGTTTTTGAAATCATTTAAGCAATGTAGTGCAGTCTTTGTAAGAATTTTTCTTGTGTGTGAGAAACCCATACATCATCGTCGTCATCATCATTATACGTGATGTATATAGAAAATCCAAAAACTATCCCGAGTCATTCATGTTCTATGACGAAATCTGTAACGACCCTAACTGATGCCAAAATTTAAAAAAAATTCGGCATAACCTCTCCTAAAAATGGGCCTTCAACAACCTGTCCCAAAACACAAAACACATAAAATTATCTAGCATCCCATTCATCCGTTCATTATACCTTAACATAGTTACTTTCATGGTGGAACATCCACACACCAATTAATCTAAATTATCATAATTACAGTTCCAAAATACAAGATTAATATTTAAAGTCCCTGTCTTACAACGTTACATGATACAATTGCATGGAAACATATACCATAATTCCACTAGATTCATTTACATAAAAAAAAAGATAAGTTCGTTCTTAAGTTACAAGGCCATGAATACTAACTTAGTTACATTTCCATAACTACGAATATACATAGAACGGTCAAAATACAAAATAGCAAATAACCTTCTAACAATTTTCAAGCTTGAGGTGGATTGTCGTCCACTAGTTCATTTCCAAGACCTGAAAAAAATAATATAAATAGTAGGGTGAGCATAAAGCTCATCAGGTGACACTTAAGACACATCTTGTGTCCTTGTGAATCCAAACAAAGCATAGGCCAATGGGAAATGGGGATCATACAATGTCGGGGAATAATACAGCATAACGATTCAATGTCAAGTATATCCAATGCAATGGTATGAGATGCAATACATGCTGGTGTCGCTCCCCATTTTCATAATCCAAAACATCATTTCCAAACTGTTAATACAGCCCGCCCTTTGGTAGCCCCGCCGCGACACGAGAGGAGGATTGGCTAGTGTCCCTGACCCTTGGTAACCCTGCGGCGTCATTATGGGGCCCAGCTAGCTCAACCACGCTAGGGCGACTCCCTAGTCCCCTCTAGGCTATATTAACCTCCGGCCCGTTGGTAACCCCGCAGCGACCGGGTTTCGCATAAAACCATTTCATCAAAAACACTTCCCTGAAATTCCCCATATTTATTTCAAGAACAATTTCTCCCATTTCATGCAAACCCAATGGTATGTGCATGTATCTATGTTCCATACATTCAATGTCATGGCATTTAAAATTCTACACCATAAAATTAAACATTTAACATGTTCAACATCTCCCAAGTAATTATTAACACATTAAGATACATCAAAATACATTTAAACATGCTTTACACATAAAATAACTCACATTCAAATGCATGAATTTCTCTAGACAACATTTAAAATAATCATTGATACAATTAACTTCTAATTAAGCATGCTTGGTATAACAAATGATTATAACTCACAATGGAATAAGAAGGTAGTGGATTAAGGTGTCCCTACCTCAAGTTTGCACCAAAACCCTTAAAAATGGGTCACAAATTTCAAACTCCAAGGAGAGGCTAAAAGCTAGAATTTCTGGTATGGATGCGTAGAGCTTGACGTGAGCTTTGTTTTGCCTCAAACGACACCTAAATCCGCCAAGTAACGAAGAATAAATCTTGCCTCAAAGATTGGGTTGAAAAAGAAAAGAAAATGAAATAGAAAATTGAGAGAGAGAGATAGATACGGGGAGAGAGAAAGAATGAGAGACCAAAAATGGTCTCTAGCCACTTAAGGCTTAGTGGTGGGACCCACCAAAAATTCTTTTCTTTTCTCTTTTTCTTTTTTCTTTTTAATTTACAGACATTACATTCTCCCTAACTTTAAAAGATTTCGTCATCGAAATCAAGACATACCTGGAGAAGAAAACAACTCTGGATACTTAGAGTGAACCTCCTGTTCGAGCTCCCAAGTAGCCTCCTCGACTCCGTGGTGTCTCCAAAGGACTTTCACCATTGGTATCGTCTTGTTCCTCAACACCTTTTGTTGTGTGTCAAGAATCTGAACTGGTCCTTCCTCGTAGGAAACATCCTCATCAATGTCTACATCAACCCAACTCAAAATGTGAGATGGATCTGGCTCGTACTTCCGTAACATCGATACATGGAAAACATTGTGGACCCTATCCAACTGTTGTGGCAAAGCAAGTCTGTAGGCAACCTCTCTTACATGGTCCAAAATCTCAAATGGTCCAATGAATCGTGGAGACAACTTGCCACTTTTCCCGAATCTCATCAATCCCTTCCGTGGAGAAACCCGAAGAAAAACGTGGTCTCCTACCTCAAAGGATAACGACCGTCTTCGCTTATCTGCATAACTCTTCTGTCGGCTCTGAGCTGTAAGTAACCTCTGTCTTATCAACTTAATCTTCTCAGTAGTCTCGAGTACAATGTCAGGTCCTAAGGCGGCTGTCTCGCCTACCTTAGTCCAACAAACAGGAGACCTACAAGGTCTACCATACAACGCCTCAAATGGATCTATCTGAATGCTCGTCTGATAACTGTTGTTGTAGGCAAATTCAATAAGTGGAAGGTGATCCTCCCAACTACCACCCAAGTCAAGCACACATGCTCGAAGCATATCCTCCAAAATCTGGATAGTACGCTCCGACTGACCGTCAGTCTGTGGATGGAATGCCGTACTCAGGTGCAACGCTGAGCCAAACGCTGCTTGAAGTCCTTCCCAAAACTTCGAAGTGAACTTAGCATCCCTATCTGAAACAATGGTTACTGGAACTCCTTGCAACCTTACAATCTCTTTCACATAAAGAACACCAAGCTTCTCTGCATCATCCGTTGCCTTAATAAGCAAAAAGTGAGCCGTCTTGGTCAATCTGTCAATGATGACCCATACGGACTCATTGCCCCTTCGTGACCTTGGAAGACCTGTCATAAAATCCATAGCAATATGCTCCCATTTCCATTGCGCTACAGGTAATGGTTGCAACAAACCGGCTGGTCTCTGATGCTCGGCCTTCACCTGCTGACAGGTAAGGCATCTAGTCATAAACTGTGCAACATCTTTTTTCATCCCGTTCCACCAATACTGACGTCTCAAATTATGATACATCTTGGTACCACCTGGATAAACTGCCAAGCGGGAAGTGTGAAACTCCCGTAAGACGTCCTCACGACAAACAGTAGGAACCACCAACAAACCCCTGAACCGTAGACCCCCATCTGTATACAAAGCCCAATCTTTCACTGTCTCACCACTGGAGATCAAAGCGTGAATGGCATCTAAATCCGGGTCCTGTCTCTGTGACTCAATCACTCGTACAACAAGAGTAGGCCGAGCCATAAGACTAAACAAGAATGCCGGCTCGCTGTCAACATCATCATCAAAACAATACAATCCCATCTCTGCCAAATCCTTAAGCATCTTCCACTTCCGAATAACCAGACAGGCCAAAGGTCCACGAGATTTTCGGCTTAAGGCATCTGCTACCACATTTGCCTTGCCCGAATGATACTGCAAGTCAAAATTATAATCTTCCAAGAATTCAACCCATCTTCTCTGTCTATTGTTCAAGTCCTTTTGGGAGAAAAGGTACTTGAGACTTTTATGATCCGAGTACACCTCGAATTTTTCACCATACAAGTAGTGTCTCCAACACTTCAAAGCAAACACAACTGCTGCCAACTCCAAATCATGAGTAGGGTAGTTGTGCTCGTGAGTCTTCAACTGTCGAGACCCATAAGCCACTACTCTACCATCCTGCATCAACACACACCCTAAACCATTACGTGAAGCATCACAATAGATCACATAACCTAAGCCACGCTCAGGTATCACCAACACTGGAGTGTAGTCAATCTTGTCTTCAATTCCTGGAAAGATGACTCACAGGCTTCATTCTATGCAAACTTAATCCCTTTCCGGGTTAAACGGGTCATAGACGCTGCTAAACGGGAGAAATCTTTCACAAATCTCCGGTAGTAACCCGCTAGACCAAGAAAACTACGGATCTCAAACACATCATTGGGTTGCTCCCAATTCAAAACAGTTTCAATCTTTGATGGATCGACTGACACTCCGCCTTCTGAAACAACATGTCCCAAAAACTTCACCTCTTGTAGCCAAAACTCACATTTCTCATATTTGGCATACAACCGGTGCTCCCGCAAAATCTGTAAAACAATACTTAAATGGATCTCGTGTTCCTCCCGAGATCGTGAATACACAAGAATGTCATCCACGAAAACTACCACAAACTGGTCTAAGTAATCGTGAAAGACGCGGTTCATTAAGTCCATGAATGCCGCTGGAGCATTAGTCAAGCCAAAAGGCATAACAAGGAACTCATAGTGTCCATACCATATACGAAATGCTGTCTTCGGGATATCCTCATCCCTAACCCGCAACTGATAATAGCCAGACCTCAAGTCAATCTTGGATAAACAACTGGCTCCCCTCAACTGATCAAATAAATCATCTATCATTGGCAAAGGATACTTATTCTTGATGGTGGCGTGATTCAATTTCCGATAATTGATGCATAATCTCAAAGAACCATATTTCTTCTTAGCAAACAAGACCGGTGCGCCCCATGGTGACACACTCGGTCGGATGAAACCTTTCATCCTCAAATCATCAAGCTGTCTTTTTAATTCCTCCAATTCAACTGGTGCCATACGATACGGTGTCATAGAAATCGGCGCGGTACCTGGCATTAACTCAATAGAGAACTCCACTTTTCGGTGTGGAGGCAACTCTGTCAAATCCTCCGGAAACACATCTAGAAAATCACGAACAACTGCAGGATAATGTTCTTCCACAACATCATCCTCTTCGGCTATAAGGGTAGCCAAAAAGTAATTACCATGACTCCGTCCACGAATTCCATAAAACGATGAAATGTGGGAATCACTCCGATCTCCCACGAAAAAGAAACAGTCTCCCTCGGGAGTACAAACTGTAACCTTTCCTCTGAAACAGTCGATCGTGGCATGAAAGGAAGCTAACCAATCCATCCCGAGAATGACATCAAAGCTAGTCATTTTT